GAGTTCGAGTTCCAGTGTGGCTACCGCCGAAGACATTCCGAGTTATAAAGTAACAGCCAGCCGACTACAGTTGGAGTATAGCAGCCGTCGCGGTAAGAAGATCCGGACGTGTGTGCGATTGTGTAATTGGGAGCGCGTGATACAGTGATACATAGCTCCCCTACTGTCAACGTGTATACTACTGAAGACAGAGTGAACTGATTTGCGCATAGGGTTAGAAATCGTGAAACCCCGCAACAGTGTTAACAGATTAATGCGATTAGGGTTATAAAGTGTGAAACCCCGCAACTGTGAGATAATTAATTGTAGCCGTTATTTGTAGATTGTTAAATAAACCAATTAACCATCTCTACGGCGTCTTCGGTAACGAAACACGTTACACTGGTGTCAGAAGTGGGATCAGTAACGCAAAACACGTTACAATATAATCCCTGCATGAGAAAATTCAGCAATTTTAAGATAAATTTCAGAATTATTACAACATTTCAACATTGTCATGGTGACATTCCACAGCAGTCAAAGAAGCAAACTTAACTTTAATGGGCAGCCATCTCACAGACATGAAACTATGTCAGGCCAATAAATCTAAATGTTATTCTTTCTCTCATTGGAAGGCATGTATCATCCTTGCCTCTAGTAATTTTAGTGAGAGTTTAACTGACAAAGCTGTTGAAATGTGATGTGCTGAAATGTAAAACATGTCTCACCAAATTGTCTCTTAATTTAGGCACCAACTCAAGAATGTGTCAGGATAAAAATATCAGAACATTTTAAATGTAATATTTTTAGCCACTGATTGTAAAATTTACATTATTTTCCCAGACATTTCACAGTATGACAAAAAGAATACTTCTGCAGGTCTAGTATTATTTATCAGAATCTGGTACATGATAAAATTCAACAGGTCAGGCTGTTTTTAATAAAATCTCCAGCATGTGTTCAGTACGTCTGACATTACATGTAAGGGTAAGAACAATTTAATAATCCATTATAATGAGAACTTCTGCATGGTATAATGCACCTGCATATTGGCCATGATCATTTTCAGATCTCTAATTATGCCACGCACAACCTTCCATGCTTTCTTGCCTGCTGATAAAGAAATATGAACAGAAAGACTTTGTTTCGCCATTAGCTGAACTCCCATGTACATGATGGAATTACCTGCAGACCACAGCATTTTTATTTATTTAATTTGTGGCTGTAGCAAATCTTTGGAAGAATACTCCAAAAATTACTAGACACTTCTGCAAGCTAGCAACCAACCTGCAGCCATGTATAGACTTCATGGAATGGGTGTTGTGTTTGCCAGTTTGTGGGGATAAATTGCTGTAGAGATGGCATCTGTGCATGTAGCTCACAGTATTCTTTGTTTATTCAGAAACCTGTAAGCAGTGTGGCACCCACATCAGTTCAGCACCAGAAACCATCACCAATCTACCAGACGTCATCTACCAAAATCCACCCTGTGCAGCCACAGACACTGAGTTCAACCCCACAGGTAACTTGAGTGTTGGGATGCGAGCTGTGTTGCTTAGTGTCCTGACTAACACTGTGCATGGCACTTACAGATGTGTTGGGTTGCAACCCCTTTAGCAAAATAAATTCAAGAATTGATATTCATGTTACTTAATGATTTCTCCTATCCTCATTTTTCAGATACTGTTGGTTTTGCTTCTTCTTATTATAACATCTATTATATTGTAGTCATATGCACACTGGTTCTTGTTCCCACATAGCCTATTATTCGATGAGGACACCCAGCTCTTTTCCTGGGGGGTAGAGAAGTAGGATTATGAGGCAAATCTCTCACTCCATCTCATGCTGCTATTAGGATGTGCGTGGATCCTTATCTTCAAGACCCCATACACATAAAGATATGGTGCTTAGGCACACATGAAACTTTGTCTTCTTGCTGCTTGTTCCAAGAAGCAGTAAGAGTGGTAAAAGGAACACAGATTGTATGAAGAAAAAATTAAATGAGTTGTATGTAGTTTGCTCTCTCTGCTAAACTTGGTAAAAAAAAAAGTTATGTGAGAGATATGCTATAATAAAAATGTGTGGCACTGTGGGGGGCAGAGTTTTAAGGAGATGACTAGAATGTTCAATGATTACAACTCACAACTAGAGATTCCCCCCCCCCCAACTGAACCCTTGTGGTAATAGTACTTATGTAACACCCTCTCTGATGAGAAGATGGGTTTGTCTCTTATGAATATGCTTGGCCTTTGATCAAGTGTACATATTGCACTTATAGCATGTTATTGAAAATTCTTCCTTTTGAACTATGTACGAGTTCTCTTTCAGTACAGATTTTGCACAGCAGATAATGCCTATCTTACATATTATATTGTCATGTGTAGGGTGGTATTTGTGACAAGCATGATGGGTTCTAGTTTGAATGATTGGATTTACTGACATTTTGTTTACACGCTCTCTCTTAATTACACTTAAATACAGTGATATCACTGATTTACACACACTGGTGCTCTCCTGGTACCATAATTAAAACGCAGAAGCTATAACAGTCTCACTCAATTACACACTCCCAATCCCACTGTGCTATAGCACACATAAATTCTTCAGTCCACAAGTTAACTCTACTTCAAATACAAACTTCCCGTATCTGTCTCCTACTGAGAACTCAGAACTCTTTGTCACTTACTAGTTCCAGTTCACTCACTTGCATGCTTCTGCCACTCCTATTTCTCTTTTAACTCCACCAGCTTAGGAATTCTGCTCAGTTATATAGCGGAGGGACTGACATTGCCCAATAGTAAACGCATATCACGTGACCCCTTGAACACTGTTGCTCTGTGATGTCACCACACACGGGCAAGCTGATGGAGGCGCAGGAAACATGTCATATGATGGCCACTTACTGTTGCTCTGTGACATCACTGCTCCTGCTCAAGCTTGCTCTACTGTTGCGTGCATGTATCGTGTCTACGGAGATGTTGCCTGGCAACGTGTTGATCAGATATGCCACAGTATTCTACAATGGCAGCTTAATCACTTGAACTATCATAAGCATCAGGATGAACCCACAGAAAACACCATTCATTCTTGTATACTCACTCTTTCCACAGGAACATGTTTACATCGCCCAGCAATGGGTTAATGGGTTGTTTACCAAAAATCTGCTGCCCTAGAAACAGCGTTGTCATGTTTTGTTTCCATGGGAACGCGTTTACCGAGCCATTGCCCAGCAGTGGTTCCATGATTTCGGCCTTCAGGCATCATGTTACAATATTGCTACTCTTTTTTCATCATAAATTCTCCAGATTAACTGTTTCCACATGTAGGAACCTGTAGTTTCCTGTAATTTTCCTGTAATGTGTACTTTTTGTGCTGCTGATGGCATGAGACTGAGGTGTCAGCCTGTTACTATATGGGAGCAGTCCTTCATCTTCTCTTTGTGAATGGACTACATTGAATTATCATGTGTGCATTACAAGCTGCGCAGGACAAATATATTGTATTCCCCATTTCTGCTTCTGTGATATTCATGCATAATATGAGTTTTGCATGCGAGCCAAGCATTTCCTGAACTTAAATGAAAAGTGAAAGTATTGATTAAATTAATGACAGAATATTAATTCAACTTGAAAGCTGTAGATATGAAACACAGTTATTTATAATGTTCCTATTTGTTTAATTTGAAACATCCTAATGTGCACCAAATAACTGTCACCCTGGGGCTCTATGCAGGTTTTAAGGCACAGGAAGATAAACATGATAGAAATAATTCTTGACAAAAACAACTAATCATCCTTCGCAACTTCTGCAAACAGATAGAGTAACATGATTTTGATCACCATATGGCATAGTTAACATTCTGTAGGATTTGAGGTTATTATAGCAGTTATGAAGAGATCTGTTTTCTGGGATATAATGTTGTGTAGTCCATTAAAAGTCAACCATCATTTCAGAGAAACATGTTGCCTCTATTTTCAGGGTCAAAGAATAAGCCAAGCAAGAGACTGGCATGAGCCAGGTAGCCAGCTTTGCTTGCTGGTTTTTTGCTTCACTTTTTCTTTGACCCTAAACATCGGTTATATCCCAGGAGACTGGATTCTTCATAGTCAACATTCATGGTTTGTATATGGGATGTTCAGAATTTGATTCCCAACCTGCAAGCCAACTACTGTGACAGGTATTTTGTCATTTTTCTCCATCATTTCAATCAAATGTAAGGATAGCACCTTTACCTTTACTGTCCGCTCATCTCTCAACTGTGTTGCCGCATGCAGTGATTCAGCATAACTAAAATCCCACTGTGTACCATATAAACTTATCATTTGACAAGCTTAAATGCAATCAAAATCATTGTAGTAGCAGGACATATAAGTCCATACAATACAGATAAATATGAGCAATGACCATGTCACAAGTATTATGTTTTTGGACATTATCCATCATCCCGTCTGTTTTCTAAAAAACTGTCCTGTTTAAGTTTTGAGGTTTTCACGGCGATTACTATGAAGAAAGTCATCTTCTGGGTTTTGGCGCCATGTATTCTTCGTTTTGGCTGACGTTTCGGAGGAACGTATCGCCTCCATCTTCAGAGCAGGAGCTGTACAGCTACTGCTCTCTGCATTCACAAGCCATTCACCTGCTCTGAAGATGGAGGCGATACGTTCCTCCGAAACATCAGCCAAAACGAAGAATACACGGTGCCAAAACCCAGAAGACGACTTTCTTCAACTTTCCTGTTTATTTTTCAAAACACGATTTTGGAGACTGGATTCTATCCCCAACCCATCTGAGCAGGTTTTACCTAAGGACGGGGACAGAATCTGGTCTCCAAAACATTGTGTTTTGAAAAATAAACAGGACGGTTTTTTAGAAAATGGGATATGGATAATGTCCAAAAACATAATACTTGTAGCAATGTACCATCATCACAAACTTTTAGATCTTATGTGGGATGTTGATGTTCCAAGAGACAGCCATGTAAAACTATAACAGTTATATATATTGTAACGTGTTTTTCCACTGAAGACGCCGTTCAGATTGTTAATTGGTTTATTTAACAACCAACAAGTCTCGGGTACAATTAATTATAACACTGTCACGGGTGTACACACTTTACAAACCCTACACAATATTCTATTCACTCTGTCCTCAGTAGTCTACACATATTCACAGTATGATTCGGGAGCTATTCCAGTGTCACTGTGTTACACACTCCCAATTACTTCTCTTGTGAGCCAAGCATCTGCTTCTCACGCTATCACTTCTAGTCACACGTTTCGATATACTTCTTTCTGCTACAACTGAACTCGACGACTGTGCCAATTCAACTGTCTCCAGTGGCTGCTGCATTTCAACTGACTTCGTAGGCAGTGTAGTTCTCTTATAAACCCTCGGCCGGACAATGGGAAAACGCCTTGCTTCCTTGTTGCCTAGTCGCGTGTTTACCGGCGTTGCTGGGCTTCACTGCTGGGAGTTGTTTATGGCTACGTAGCAACTGCGGCGTCCCGTGTTACATCACCGCGGGCAAAGGGGTGTTGACTGGCCTATTACCATAGCAACGGCAATGCTCCGAAGGTGTTACATCACCGCTGGCAGGGTAGGGGAAGGAGTGTTGACTTGCCTGTTACCGTAGTAACGACAGCCCTCCAATGCCCCCACGTCACCGCTGGGGAGAGATGGGGTGTCCTCCATAGTGCAACACGTCACAATATTATTCTCAAATGTACAGAATGGCTGGGAAGCCGTCTCGATATATATGTATGTTGTTCAGAACTTTGCGAGCCCCTAAAAGGGCCGTTTGTTCCACTGTGTGCGCTAGTAATAGCGTTGGCCTTCCTTTACAGTCTCGTAAGCACTTATGAGCAGGCAGGATAGGGGCGAGCCTAGCCGGATAGCCTGGGCCTTCCTTATGGCCACTCGGCGGTTACGAGTCAGCGTGAGAGTGGAGTCTATCTGGCCTGGCGCTGTAATGCATGCGCTGGTGTAGTCTGCTGTCTCAGTGTTGTTTGCTGGAGAGCTGCGGCTTTATGACGTCAGCTTAGCTACGTTAGCTGTGTTCGGCAGAGTGAAGACAATTGAAAAAGAACTGATCATAGCAAGTTTTGAGCATTGCTTTTTATACCATGCTTGCTGGGCAGAGCTAGAGATGCAGTTGTGATTGTGAGCGCTGATTGGCCAGTGCCCACAATGCTCTCCAGGGGGGCCGGATAGCAAGTGCTGCATAAATATGACCATTGGTTACAATGTGACATTGACTTGGCTTGAGCAGAAGTTGAATGTTGTCTGTTAGACCGGCGAAGCTGCATGTTAGAATGTGGGAGGTTCCCACACTTATTATGACCGTGTCCCGTCACATACTTTCCACCTCACCATTCACAGTATTCTCATATTCGACACTGTATAATCAGGCAGTTCATAAAATGCACTTAAATAAAGAAAGAAATCAATGTGCTTTCGATTTATCTCAGTTACAAATTAGCAGAAACCCAGACCTGTAGTTTCTTGCATTTAATTGAGTGTTTTCTTGTTTTTAAGCAACCACCCATTTCTGGAACATAAGAGATACCTCTGCTACATGATAAAAGTCAATTACTATTATAATAATTTACATGTTTCTGTAGGGCATTCTGCGTGAGCTGAGGGGTGACTTGTCACCGCCACAGAGCACTTCCACCCCTGTTGGTACTCCTGAAGGAATGCATGAGAACCGACATTGTGCTGGTAAACCTGCTCTGCCACCAAAACCTGCGTTACCTGTGAAACCCACTCCACCCCCTCGACAAACGCAGCATTGCACACCTTCAGCAGTGAATACAGCAGAGCTGGATGTGGGGCGAGTGGACATATCTGCTGATGCTGTAGATTCAGCACTCAATGTGCTCAGGGGAGCACCTGCTGGACTGAGGTGAGGATCCCACAAAACTGGGTATCTATAGATTGGATTGATGAGCAAAGCTTTATAAATGTTCATCTTCTCTATTTTTCTATGCAACACAGCTCCTCCTCCTCCTGCTCCTCCTCCTCTTCATGGCTCTAAGTTCATTCCTTAGATCATGAGTGATTCTGAATGTGATATGTTTCTGCTAAGTTTGGATTTTATATTAGCTGATATTCCTTTTAGGATTTTGTGATGAAATGTTTCATTGATACGATCTTCATACTCGTATATGTGAATGGAATGCGTGAAATGTATAAATGGAGAGGTGTCATTTCATAGCAGCAAATGATCATATGCATAAATTACAGAATGATACAAATTGCGTGATGAAGTATGGGAACGTACACATTCACAGAATGAGCAGCAAATGCATAGTACTTTGTGTTCAGACAGTTAGTTAGTTAGTTAGTTATTGGAGAGGTTGGGTTTCCCCATGCACTTAGACCGGTATTGGTCCATTGTGCTTCCCTCTATGATATTCTACCAGTCTCTATACCCCACCAATACTGGTGTGTACCATCAGTTCCAACCGAGCCAGCGAGTTCGGCCTCTACTGGCTTAGCGGTATCTATAATGCTTCCCCCATCTATCAGAGGCGTTAGAGACTACTGTTGGGCGGGAAATGTCCTTGAATTTGGCTCAGTGACCTACATTGGAGATATGAGGTTCTTTTACATGTCGTAAAGTTACGACACAGGACGCACAGCTTAAAGTCCCTCCTGGAGGACTTGTTCCCTGAATTTTTCCGCCCTTAAAAATTCCATGACTTCCACCGGGTTTGAACCCGCGTACCACGAGTCATGAGATGGGAACGTTATCTCTAGACTACGGAGGCCGCTGTTCAGACAGTTACATTTTGTTTCATTTTCTTACAGGGGAGGGCTGACATCCCACCAAGAACAACTGCTGACCAAATTGAGCCAGCAGCAAGTGCCTTCTGAGTTGGATGAGAATCAGCTTCCACAACGACAGACATCCTCCACAGTGACTACTCCATGTCCTCCCCCTCCACCACCGACATCTGAACCTCCGGATGACATAGTATTGGCAAACGTCCCTAACCAAAAGCGGTTTGCAGGAGTGGGTGGTAATTCTGGCAGTGACAACATTATGCCAATAATCAAAGCCTGTCCACTAACCATCAAGAAACAGCCATCATCAGAGCATCCAAAATTGAAAGCTGTAAACTTTGTTGGAAATGGCCAGAATGGTGTGGCTGCATCTTCCAGTGTGAATGGAAGCAGTGGTGCCAATGTTAGTGGTGTCAATAACAATGGTAACAGTGGTGTTCATGTTAGCATCAATCGCAGGATTGAGATGCCCCCAGCATTCTTATTCCCAGAGACTGAAGCACCTCCAGCAGACCTTATATCCTCATCTTCAGGATCAGAACAGTCCTCAGCTACATTCTCATCGACAACTTCGTTGACACTGAGCAATAGTACAGTGACACCTAGTGGAATATCAACTGGAAACATGAATTTGGGTGTTGGCGCAGATGAGGTGGACAGGGCAGTGGTTGAGCCATTGAGTGGAAGTGAAGTAGATAATAACAACTTTGTGACAAGGAAAGTTGTGGTTGGAGAGGAGAATGGCAATCAGCAGAAGCAGGACACCCTGGTAGATGCTCTCAACAATATCAATGCAGCAACTCAGGAGCAGCAGGATATGACAGGTGAGCACTCCTTGTACCCACACATTGCTAGATTTCCATACTTGTGGCATTTTGCTTCTACCATCTGTGAGTCCCTGATGTACAGCTGTACATATATTAAACAGGAGTAGAAATTGTAGCTCAGTTTGGAGGATAATGGTGTTATAAAAGCACTCTTGGCCATTCATGCATACCTCACTGGCCTTGATACTCATTTACTGCAAATAAAGTTTACTCTTGCCAAGCTAATCACACTGCCCAGGTTTAGGAATTATTTTTCACTACATCTGTTAAATATGTAGTGTATTCCAAAACTTTTTCAAATAAGAGATTGTAGATAACATCACTTTTTATGTCATGTATCAATTTTAGAGTCTGTGGACCTTTTCTTTGATGAATTTTGACTACATATGTGATTGGGGGTGTGTTTGACTTGTAGAAACCAGATTAATTTCACCTGTAAACTTGTATGTGGATTGCAGTACAGTATTTCACCAAAGTCCATTCTTCAGTTTTAGACATAAAATATACAAATAGACAGCTGTTCCGCTCCTGTATGCTGTAACTGTGTGCAGATAATGCAAAGTATTAGATGAGGTCGTTGGATTTTTTTTCAGTTGACCTAATCCTTCCAGCCGCGCTAGGCCCTGGGGTTTACTCAGCCTCTAACAGAAATGAGTACCAGGAATTAATTAAATAATTTTCCTGGGAAGTAAAGTGCAGCCGGCGCATAAGGCTGACAACCTTACCGCCATCTTTGAGCCGATTGTCTAGATAATGTGGGACCCTCAACCCTCTCACAACCCTATGGGCCTTCACAGTCTGGTACAGGGATAGCTTTACTTTTTTACTTGTCTATATGCATAGTTTGGCACTGATAGTGCATCTTATATTTGGGATTTCAGATCTCAACCAAAACGTTGGCTTTAATGGCGATGTTGATGGTGGTGATGATGATGATGATCATCATCATCAGTTTGTTCAGTGCCAGGACAGTACATTGAAACAAAGCCAAGAGTTCTTTTTGGTCCATTCATTCTAGTTTGCCATGTACATAATCTAGCCTTTACCTCAGTCAGTGCAAAGTAATTTCTGTGGTTCATGCAGCATAATTAAATACCATATAAGCAGTCCAAATGAATTTAAATTTCTTCAAATGATGTGCTTTGCCTAAACTAAAATTGTATTTGATAAGTAGAGCAATTGAATTCTCTCTTCACCCACTGCAGGCCTGTAAGAACATAAATTTCAAACTACTTGTGAAAGAAACATCCTAGGCGGAAGACAAAAAGCTTAGCATTCCTTACAGCATTTTATTTCACTTTTCTTCTCTTTTCTGGAAGTTCATCTTGAATTGAATCCAACATTGCTCCAAAATTATGTCCATAAGTAATTTTCAAGCAATAATTAATGCTTTTGTTGGGTGAACTGTGCTTACCAACCTCAACAGCATAAAACAGACCTTCAGTCCTCTTATTAGGGAATGACCTAAGCTGTAAGTTAGTAATGGGTATATAGATCTGGTTCTAAGCGGTGACTGTAAACCCTGACTGTTGGTATGTAACGCCTGCAACATACATGCAGACAGCAGTAGAAAAATAGGGTTATGCAACCTGTTCCTAAACAACAGCTCGATAAATACAACTACTGTTGCTATGTAACAGTGCGGTAAACATGCCTCAGCAATAGGGGGACTGTGTTTTCTGCATGGTCCATGCTGAGGAGTTATCTTGAAGACATTTGGTGTTAGAGTTGAGTAAAGGGTTCAGTTGTGAAGTGCTAACAAGCAGGCAGTGGAAGCTGAAGAATCTCCATTGCTAAGATTCGTTACCAAGAAATGTTCAGTGAAAACATTGCAGAGGAATAGTCATTGTTGAGAGCTGTTACCCAATAAAGGCTAGTGAAATCAGACTGAGAAGACTTAGTATGGAGTGCTTTGTAGTGTGGAAATAAGCAATAGTGTTATAGTTATTTGTAGTTATGACCTGTAAGTGGTCATAATGTTGTATTTTAGTGTCCTGTTGCACTGTTTTTCATCCATGATATGTATATAGTTGCCGTCTTGTAGTGCACTCAATTTCACCTGTTACTTCACGACATGTTTCGGCAACATAGTGCCATCATCAAGTGCCCTAATTACGCTAATCTATTTCATTGCTTGCCTTTATAAAATTATTTAAAAAGTGTGTATTTGTCAACTATAATAAATTTACACACAATAAAACTTCTGAAGATTATTCACTTATGTGTCATAATTAAAACTTGCGTGTGGTTCTTCCACTATGGGGGTCGTTTTTCTTATATTCTGTGTAAACCGCGTCTTGTGATGTGTGTTCCCTTCTTAACTGCGAGTGTTGTAACACATGTCGTGAAGTAACAGGTGAAATTGAGTGCACTACAAGATGGCAACTGTATACATATCATGGCTGTAAGTGGTCTTCATCATTGCAAACCCCGTCTATAGTTACTAATATGCATAACAGTATTAATAAGTATGTATGTGTTTTATAATTGTTCGGTTTCTGTTTAACAAGATAAAAATAAGAAATCGCATGCTATTGTAATAGTGTGATGAACTGTTCTGAAACAGTATTCCGAAGGGGCTGGGATCAAACTCATCACCACGATGAACCAAGCATAATATATTCAGAGGATGATATCACTAACATTTTAAAAGTGTGTTTAGTTTGTTTACATTTGTGAATATTTGTACACTGTAATATTGCCATCTTTGAGCCTACCATATGAAGTGTCACGGTCAGATGGGCAGCAAACCTGCTACATATTGTTTGGAAGATCTTGCTTTCAAATCTTCACCAGAAGACTGACTATCCTTACTAAGGCATATCATGGTTTCCCTCAGTCTGAAAAACCAGAATAGTATCATAGATTAGATTGTGATCTCATCCTTGCACTTCCTTTCCAATTCATATTCACTAATTATCTTACCATGTGACACTTTCAGTGTATATTCTCAGCTACTGATAGTGTCAATAAATAAACTATAAATAAATAAATAATAAATAATAATAAATAAATAAAGTTGATCCAATAGTTACAACTCTTACACTAGCTCAATTTTGGAGTCGAGATGGCGCAGGCAGTATAGCAACTGGCTATGGACTGGATCGCTGAGGGTTCAGAGTTTCCTGGCTGGGTCAGGAGTTTACTCTTCTCCACGTAATCCAGACTGGCACTGGAGCCCACCCAACCTATCCAATTGGTATGGGAGGCTCTTCCCGCGGGGTAAAGAGGCCGGGGCTTGAAACTGACCATTAACCTCCAATTAGTGTCTAGGTCAAGAAAACATAGATTTATACATTCACTCCCCCATACGCCTTCATTGTGTAGTGCTTAATTAATTAAGCACAGGGACAACTTTACTTACCTTTACCTATATTAGCTCAGTTTTGCCTAAGCTGTTCATTAATTAAATTATGCAGTATGTATATAATATTACAGTTATTATTTAATAAAATACTTAAGTTGACTGGTTCCAAATAATTTGCATAAAATCTAAGGTGTGTTAAGAACAAAAGTAAAGTCTGAATAGAAGTGTACAGACTAGTAGAAAAGTTATTAACTTTCTGATTCATTGCTAATTTAAAGAAACTGAAAATAAACTCATAAATATAATTTTAGGTGAGCACATGCCTCAGCATATTATGGTACGGAGAGCGAAAAAAGGAAACCTTAAGGCAGGAGCATCAAACAAAGTAGCCCCCGGAGGATCGCGCCGTGTAAGCTTTGACCCTCTCGCTCTTCTTCTGGATGCTTCACTGGAAGGGGAACTTGAACTGGTCCGCAAAACAGCGGGTCAAGTGAGCAATCCAAGTGCAGCCAATGACGAAGGTATCACTGCACTCCACAATGCCATCTGTGCTGGACACCTTGATATTGTCAAGTTCCTGGTTGAGTTTGGGTGTGATGTCAATGCTCAGGATAGCGATGGATGGTGAGTCCCTACAGTACAATGCTTTCTGGGGTTTGATATCTTCCTACCAGTAATTTTTGGACTCATTGAACTTCAACAGTTACATTATGGTAATAATGCTAACTTCAGAAATGAGATGAGAACTGTGGTTATTCAGTGTGGGGTATGAATATTTTATGTAATAATCTATTTGAGCTTTATTTTCTTCACAGAGACAAAATTACAAACTGTGATCCCAAGGTTTGCTTTCCAGTTTTATGACAGTTTGAGATCCACATGGAATAAGAGACTGAAGTTATTTGCACAGTGTTGTGTAAAGCTTCTTCAATAGCACAGTGACAGCACATAGTTTTGAGGTTATGTTTCCACCTATTCTCATTGGAAATGTATTTTTGTCACATAGATTTGATGAGGATAGTAATTAAGTTACATATATTATGGCTGTGTCATGATCCACTCAGCCTTGTGATGATAATCGAGAAGCTATTTCAAGAAAATAGAGGCTCCAGTGTAGAAAACCGAAATTAACGACCGTGGGGATTTGTTGCACTGACCACACAATACCCTCTATCTGCAAAAGTTGGCACTAAACTTCGCCGACAAGCGATGGTTGCTCAGTCTGTATAGTTCGCTTGCAGACTACAGTCACGGAGTTTGTTTTTTGTTTTTCTGGTGGGAGTAACTGTGGTAGGCCTAAGTATAAAATGCATAAACTTTGTATAATAATACCATATTTTGTTGTGTAAGACACACGCCCTTTTAGTTTTTGTTTCTTTCACCTTGAATTATGCATTGGCATGTGTATATAGTGAAACGTGGAAGACCCTATGTTATAAATATTCAACATTAAGTAATTTTCATATAACATGTAGAGTAACAATGGAATGTACATGGTGTGTTCCGTATATAATGCCTCCTATTTTTATGTGTTAATATGTAACGTCTGAGCTGGATGTTGGTGGTGTTGTAGTAAAAGTTGAACCTTCCTGCCAATGTACTGTTAATTTGGTTGTCGTGCGACAGATAGCGACAGCAGAGCAGTCTACCAAAATGGCATCTGACATAGAAGTGTGTACGAAACAGAGATGTGTTATTGAATTTCTCACTGCCGAACAAGTTGTACCCATTGACATCCATCGACACTTGCTAAAGGTGTATGGAGACAATACAGTGGATGTCAGCACAGTGATTCGGTGGGTAGTGCGTTTCAACAGTAGCGAAAGTGAAGTGCATGACAAGCCACGCCTCAGCTGCCACTCCTCACAATGAACAGCACCTCATCCGAACAGATCAGCAGCTAACGACCAGGGACTGTCAATTCTGAATGCTACAAGACGACGCTGACTAAGCTGAAAGCCCGTATTTCCCGAGTCAGGCTAGAGAAGCAGACAACCTTTCGCTTGCAACATGATAACGCTAGACCCCATACCAGTTTGGCGACTACCGCGCACTTTGCAAAGTTTGGCTGGACTGTCCTACCACATCCACCTTATAGACCTGATTTCGCACCTTCAGGCTTCCCTCTCTTTGGGCCTATGAAAGACGGACTACTTGGGCAACATTTTACAGACAATGATGCTGTCATTGCAGCTGTAAGAAAGTGGCTAGCCTCTGCTGGTGCAGACTTTTACGGACGTGGCATACAGGCTCTTGTTCATCGCTGGCAAAAGTGCATAACGAATGGTGGTGATTATGTGGGAAAATATCTGTAAGTAGCTGAAATCTTGCTCTATTTAACTGCGTTATTATGATTTCTCTATCTGTTGTAGTTTTCTTTAAAAAAAGTAGGAGACATTATATATGGAACACTCTTAGTAATATTACTTATTTCTCAAGTTTTGTGAGAACAAATGATGAACCACCATAGCTGGACATGTAAGAAACAGAATGGTGTGAGACTGTAAACTCACAAGTTTACAGCCAGTTACAAGAATTACTGATGATAAAATTCAGGGAGAACTTGCTACTGCTCAGTTGAGAAACTGTAACTTCTCATGACCAACCCAAAGACCTAATTGTTAAACACAAAACTAATTTGATGGATGTTATTACCAATATACTGTTTACATTATGGTAAAAAAAATAAGATAACATCCCTAGGCTTAATTAATTAAGCACCATGTCATGATAACACATTGAGGATTGGAGGTATAGCTCCACCTTTCTTAACCTCAGTACTAAATAGAACTGAGTGACCTGCTTCATGCCTTTGCCACCTTGCCCCTGGGGAAATATCACCTCATACCCATTGCATAGGAGGTTGGGTGGGTCCCAGAGCTAGTCTGAATGCTATAGGGAGGAGAGAAATCTCTTGCCTCTGCTAGAATTGAACCATGTTTCTCAGTCATCCAGCCTGTATCCTAGCCACTATACTATGAGTATGAGGGGTGGGCCATAAAATCCGGCCCTCGCACTGCGACCTTCAATGATCTATTGTGCTTCCCATTTGGAATGAAATGTAGGACTTTATTTATGGGGGCATCATAAAAGTCATTTGGTTCCATAGCCACCATACGAACTGAGCTATTCTGGCTCCACTATTTACATTAAGGTAGGAATAAAACAGCTATCAAATATATCAAGTTTTTTAGTACTTAAATAATTGTGCAGCCTGATATGTTTCAGCATCAGGTGGTCATCTTCTGGAGCAGCTAGTCCTAAAGGAAACTTTTAGTGACTGTTTAACCATTAAAAGAATTTGATACACTAGATCGAAATTCTATATTTACATTTATTCAAAACTTTTTTCTATACAAGTTCACCATCAGGGCAGAGCTTAGATTAAGGTGCTGAGGGGAATGCGTGGTCCTAAGACAGAAGTAGCAAAAGGAGTGTGAGAAACATTACTTGATGAGGAACTTCACCTAACATTGTATGGGAGGTTAAATGGAGGAGTATCAGATGACCAAGACATGTAACACACATAAGAAATCCATCCAAAATTTCAGATGGAAGTCCCCAATGGAAGAGACCACTTGGGAGACCTTGATTTAGATGGATGGATAATATTAAAAGGGATTGTGTAAGACTAGGGTGTGAAGGTGTGGGCAGAATTCAGTTTGGGTAGGACATGGCAGATTTTTGTAAATTTGATACAGAAGCTTCATTTGCCTCACCAAAGCAGCATGTTCTTCCTGTAGATTACTGTGTTGCCTTGTTCACAGGACTCCATTACACTGTGCAGCTTCTTGCAACAATCTTGCAATGGTTCGCTTCCTGGTAGAACATGGGGCATGCATCTTTGCTACAACTCTGTCTGACCATGAGACAGCAGCTGAGAAGTGTGAAGAAGATGAAGAGGGTTTTGATGGGTGCTCAGAATATCTTTACAGTAAGTAACTATGCCCCGCAGTCTGCACCATGATCAGAATATGGATTCTTACATTCTGAACCAGCATGATTCTGTTCTAAGCCTTGTGGCTTCCAGTTCTTGAGAAACCGTCACTTGACAGTAAGCATTTCGAACATCACTGTTTCTCGGCCTTCATGAGAAACTGTCTATGCTAACTGCTTGTTTTACCAACATTCATATAATGAATTTGTAAAATGAACATCGCCTCTGTAACACCAGTGAGAGGAGGATTAATGAATAAGGAGCAGTTGCTGGAATGAAAATTGATAGGCATAACTGAAGTGCTTGGAGAACAACTCCCCACTGCCATCCCACATGATCTGCCCTGGAATCAGACCTAGGCCACTACAGTGAGAAGCCAGCAACTAACCACGTGGTCTATGGCATAGTGTGCTGATGATCTTCTGAGCCTTCTATAAGTTACAAACTAAAACAGGGTACATAAAACATTGATTTTTTTTGTAAGATAATGAAAACAGAAAGACCAAGATGCATACTTTATTTTTGTAGCAATTTGGGCTTCTATAGTTGATGAGTGGGCATAGATTGACAGCAAGAAACATTTTGAATGTCTATGAACCATATGAATGGAAGACAACATTTTTTCATTGAAATTAATATAAGGGATTATAACAGTTGTGGCATGTTTCCCCCTATTATTATTTATCCCTAAAACTGTAACATTTACAAAGGTGTATATGGCATTAAATGTACTTAATTTTTTACATCTTTTGCCCAAAATATTTGTTTGCTTCAGCCATTGTATGGTGAGTTGCATTTTAGATGTGCATATTGTCGCGTATTGGGTGTATATCGCGACAAATAACTTCACGCCGTATTTTATATAGTGAATTTTATTTCACATTCACACTTACAATCACCCAAATTACAGATTTACGATTACTGCTATCTGCAGTATCACAAATAGTACACTCCAAATGCCACAATACAACTGACTGGTTGCTGGCTAACTCGGAACTAACGTAGCTCGAGGACTGACTCGTAGGTAGCTCCAGGACTGACTGACTGACTGACTGACTGACTGACTGACTGACTGTGAATAGCCTTCACTGCTCCTTATGTAGCCTCGATCGGACAATTGTCGTCTGGTGCCGTGTTGCTAGCGACGCTGTCCGGAGTTGTTGACTGCTGCCTAGCAACCGCGATATCCCTCGGTGACGTCACCGCTGTTGATTCGCTTTGCATAGCTTCAAGGTCGCGGGGACTCGGCTAACGTCGGCTCCGCTCGGCTCACTTCGGCTCCGCTCGTGACGTCACTGCGCGTTGCATAGCTACCAGGATGCGGGGTGATTACTCGCCTATTACGCGAGCGCTACGTTACCGCTACGTGCAGCTGGGGAGGTAGGGGTCAACATGTCACAATATGAACACATGCAGGTCTTGTATTTGAAGTTATCAATTATTGTTGTTCAATTTTATCTGAAAGTGTTGATAGATTTAGTAAAACTCTTCACATAAAATTTCATGAAAATCCATTTACCAGTTACAGAGTTGTTACATGCACATAGAATGGCAGGCACAAAGGCAGGAAGAAGCCAACAGATATATGTTTGCAACTTTTCATTACAAGTGTGAAAAAATAGAAATAGTTTTACTTTACAAGTTTTGTCGTGTACTTCTCTCAGTTTTCCACTTGTTTGAGCTGTCATCAGTCTGCATGTTTTCTTTAACAAATAAACTTGTAGTAGTTCAGTTCATTTGTTCCTCAGAAATAAGATAATATATTTTCCAGTGAGAAAAATAATTATAGTTAATATTTTAATCTTTGGTGTTGTGAAAAGTGAGAAAATTACTCTAAATGCTGTCTGTATTCTGTGTGATGAATATGTATAGTGGGCATGGCAGTAAAACTATTAAGCATATTGGACTTCAGTACATCCAGCAAACTGGCTATCTTCTCAGTGAAGGAAATAGTCACCAATAAGCCATGACTAAGAGACTGGTTTCAGAGATGACAGAATTATCATCAACCAGTGGAAGCTTGTGGTCATCTAAACAAGTACATTTAGGACCAATAAGATTTCCAACTTCCCCTCTCCTACTCAATACCTATATTCAAGGAGAGACAGGAAAATCTGTGTTATTTATATATGTTCATACCTTTTATGTTACATACTATCCCATTTCTTTTTAGCACCTTTAGGTCTATTTTATGTGGTCACACACTGTGGCCTACAATTGAACACATTTGTCTTCTTGGTAAACCACAATGTCTCCTTCAATCTGGGGAGGATTGGTACTTTTCTAAGCTTACCTGTTCCCTTTGCCACCCATGAGTCATAGTAAGTGCTTCAACAGGGATGCATACAAGTTAGAAATACATTGTTTCTGTTACACAATTTCACATAAAGTTGCTGCTTGCCATGTGTGTGCAGGTGTTCAGGAAAAGCTGGGAATTTTGAACAGTGGCGTTGTGTATGCTGTATATGACTACGAGGCTCACAATTCTGATGAGCTAAGCTTCAAGGAGGGGGACAAGCTCATTGTCCTTCGTAAGGGAGATGAGTGGGAACGAGAGTGGTGGTGGTCTCGACTCAATGACCAGGAGGGCTACATCCCACGTAACTTGCTTGGTGTATGTATTGTTCAAAGTTTTATTAGTGTAAAATATATTGTATGTTACTTAATTTGACCCTTCTAAATCTAAATTACATTATTGTAGTATAATGTGATGTTTTCAGTGACTTTGGTGTAGAAGCCTCTCCTCTTAAGAGTGTCATATATTTTGAGTCGTTTAAAATGTTATGGAGCAGTGGCATCCTCATTTAACATTCCTTCCTTTCTGGGTTTCCTGAGTTTATAGAGTTCTAACTTATTATCTGTCATAGAAACCTTATGAAGATTTCTTTGTGTGACTGAGAGCAGTAAAGTTCTCAGACACACCAATATATTCTTGTATTTTGTTCATAGATATTACAGTAGTAATGTAAACTGAATTAAATGAAAAGCTGTCTCTGTAGAAAACATTTTAGTCCCTAGAATGCAGATTTACAACCAATGTAAAATTATCTTTCTTAAGCAGACACTGTTTAACACGGAAAAGCAAGTGACTAATAAAGGCTTATTGGTTACAGTATGTTTTGATGTTTGATGTTTGGAATTTGTCTGAGAAAGATCATTCTAGTCACAATAGGGAAAGTGTTAAGTCTGACCACCATGGAGATAGATTCAGATATCTACTTGCCATATTTTGTATCTAAATGTAAGAATTGTGTTAAATGGAAATCTGTCAAAAATTATAAAGTTAGGTCTTGTGGCATTTCCTTATAAGCAAGTTCTACTGAACTTATTTGTTTTTTACCACGTCTCCACAAAGCCTCCAGCTCTGTTGCCAGTAGAAATATACCTGCATATAGTAAAATGATTTCAGTATTATTTTTGTTGGGAACCAAGAATTTTTAAAAGTTGCCTTTATCACCATCATCATTCATCCAAGCATTCACCCTGGCCAACATCTTACAGATATTACAGAAGAGAATTTTTCTCCTGGGTCTCTCTCACTCTAAGTTTCTTTTCTCTGGACTGGTATTTCATAGTTTTGAGTGGGAAGTTATCTCTGTGGGATTTTGTTTGCATCTGTACTGATAAGTCTAGTACAGTAAGAAGAGAGAATTATTATTATGAGAGCCAAAATCAAGACAGCTAACCTCTGTGACATTTCTTTTGCAGCTTTACCCAAGAGTTCAGGCTAGCAAGAAGCCAGAATGATTGTTGTAAGAGCAGAAATCAAGACTGCAACTTGTCTTGGTGACACTTTGTTTGGAGTTGTATTCAAGAGTCCAGGCTACAAGAGGACAGAATGATTGTCATAAGAGCAGGAACCAAGCCTGCAGTGCATCCTGGTGACACTATCATAGCATAGAGCCTGTTATTACAATGTTCATATATTTTTTTCTCTACAGTTTTGATGTAAAATAAGAATGAGGCGTGATTATAAATCTCAGGTGGAATAGTACTTACTCTAATTAGTAAGGTCAAACAAAGGTTAGAGACTATACAAAGAAATTTTAAAATGAGATCATTTATCTTATCAGTGTACTTAAGGTAATCTTGTTTCCTGTCTTATATATATACAGAAGATACTGTGCCTTGTTTTTAACGTGTACCTAATAATAATATGTAATATTGATACAACAAAAGGCAAGGTACAGATATATACAGAAATATTTTAAATACTTGAATATACTAGCTGTGCTAGTCACCTATTGAGATATTAAACTTAGTATTGTAAATATGTGCCCTTAGAGGAGTCTATTGAATTTGGCTCTGTTGATGTGCAAGTGTCTTGATAAGTACCAAAAATTGTTAGATAATGGTTTGGGGAGGGTGTCAATAAGAGCCTATTTGAATGCAGCCAGCCCATTACAGCTGTAGCCTTCACAGAAATTATGGCTAGTTGGGTAGGAAATTCAAATTCATCATTCTTTAACTTTTGTAATATAAAATGTTTGTATAACACTGAAACAAGCACAATTTAAAATGTTATCCTGTTTTTCTTTATGAGTTCCCCAAAACTGTTTTTTGGTTAGCCCAGTATTAAGGGAGCACACTCATGTCTCATGTTTTAGCTTCCTTCTGACCCTTGCATCTCATTCCTGAAGCTTTCGTTCCCTGTCTGTGCATAGTTGGATAACAGCTACACTTTGCCAAGAGTCTTCAGATGAAAGAGACAGCCAGTGATCAAGGGAAAACTGCGGCTGTCATTGAAGGGCTTAGGATCAGACAGTCCTATGTCACTTCACAGTCACTTTGAGATATATTAAGAAATGTGTTATAAATAAATCAAATAATCATGTTAATTTTATTCATATTTATTATTACATGTTTGAACTTGTATGGTACATGTCTTATCATGTTTTAATATCTGAATAACCATTGCTGAGGTAAAATTAATGTGACTTTAGTTTAATGAGGCATGAGACTTTATGGAAACAATAATATCTTGTTTGCATAAAACAAAGAACTGATATAGACTACTGGTACTTGAAATTGCTTCATTTCTTTTTCTTTTGAATGTGAAAGTTGTGTTGCATATGATAATACATAATTATAGCTATAAATTAATTACTCCAAACAGTGAAAGCAGTTCAGAATCAAATTCCTGACACTGATTCACATATCACTTATGAGATATGATGCCTGATCTCAGTATTTCATAGATGGTGTGATTCACTGCTTGAATATATGACAGAACATCTGGGACATCTTTTAGATATCAGAAATGTAACATGAGATGGTTTCCTTTAGTTGCAGTTGCATACAGCCTGAAAACAACTTTGTGGGTTGTAAACAGCTTGAGTGCAATTGTTTTGAAAAGTTATCGGTTTTTGCAAAGCCACAATCAGACGGCAAGTATGTAAGACCATCTACCATGTTCAGTGATGCTGAAATGATTTGAATGGTTGAGCTGGAGCCATTTTGTATCTGTTTTACAGGTCTTCTTCTGCCCCAGACAGTTATCAGAATATATCAGTTCCTCAGTTCACAGTGGCTTCATCCCACATGAACATGCATCCTTGATCTTAGACACGGTTGCTTGTACTGAAGTTGTATGTCCACATTTTATATTTGTAAATTGCAGGCACACATGAGAGCTGTGGAATGGCAAAGCTTGTTGCAGATTCATTAACAGAACTAATCCCTGCTCTGGGTTGCCTTTAGCCTGTTTTGACTCGGTTTTCAAGTTTTCATTTGATTAGCCTCATCTAAATGAAACATGCATTTTCAGAGTCTTTGTTTAACCTCCATTGCCCTCAGCTTAATTCATTTTTATGAAAGTTCATCACATATCCTACAAGTGTTGCATTTAAGCATTTCTTCGCTGTGGTTCCTAATGGTTCTTATCTCTAATTTTATTTTTTGGAGGTCTTAAAATTGCATGTATTTCCTTATGTTTTCCCTGTGGTGATACCATCTTACCACAGGAAAACCGTTTATTTGATAATGAATTTGAACTTGTGATGTGGTATCACCAGGCAAGAAATTTACAGATTATTATATTTTAAACAAAATATTTAGGCAACAGGGCTAGTGTGACTTGATGCTGTTGTCATGGTCTTTCGCACTAGAACATGTGACTCTGCAGAACTCTTGACAGTGGCTGTCAAAATCAGTGTGTGGGTGAGGAATATGCCACTGTACTAAGCATCCTCTGGTATTCACTTGTTTAAGAAATTCCCTCTTACACATTCCCAGAGTTCATCACTCCTATCATCACAGATGCCCACAGCTGAGCTCTGTCCAGAGCCATACCAAGTCAGGTCACATCCCTACAGCCCTTTCCTAAAATTTTAATATAAATTTCTGGAATTTCAAATTCAATATCCCTGATATGTTTAATGACAGATTTTCAGTTGCTTTTGTTGCAGGATGTTGATTGGTATATCCTATCTGACACTTAGAACAGTTCTACCCATACAAAGTAATATGTTATGTTTCTGTTTTCTCACACTGGTCTGTTTCTTACATAAGATGCTAGTGATACCAGTTCTTAGTTTAAGTGTTCAAAAAGTCGTTTTGAATTTGGATTTAATCTTACTAATATATTATTTTTCTGTATATTATCATTGCCCTGTTTTCTAAATGTAAGAGCATCTCTTTGTTGTAATAGGTTTCCAGTCATTCTGAGCTTCAAAAGCTGTTAACAGTTTTACTGTTACTGTGGTGGTGTTATGTGTAGCTAAAGAAGGATAGTACCTGGTTTTGTAAAGCATACAAGTGGTCATGTGCACAGAAGCAAAGAATAACAAATTGTTTTGAACATGTTAACAATATTTAAAGGAAAAATCCACAGAAAGAATATAAGTTGGTTTGTGAGTGAAACTGAAGAAACTGCATGCACTTCAAGAGTTTCATTTTTGCATAGAAGAGATAATGGCTGTGCAATAAATTATTCAGGTAAGTCTTATAATTATTTCTTCACATACGAATAAGTCTGCCACCTCAAAGTGAAGACCATAAAAACCTGTTTTACAATGTATTTGTGCACTGGCCATGTGTTCAACTTGCAGTCTGTAATGTACCTGATTGAACTATGCTGTCCCACTATATGCAGCTATGCTGCTACTGCAATAACTGTAATCTTTTGTTAAACTCATGGTGTGATTTTGAATTATGAGCTGGAAAGGACATAAACATAACCTGTTTTAAGGCATCCCAGCATTTCTGTGAAGGAACTGTGGAAATTCATGAAAAGCCTGTCAGAACAGCTTGTTGAGGTAAGATCCAAAGCTGGTATCTTTTTGATACAAATGAAGACTGCCAGGCACTGAACATCATAATGTATATGAAACTTCCACCAAACTTACATTTATTGTTGGATACTTCCATTTCAGCTTTTTGTTGCTAGGTATTATTTGATATTTGGAACACACTAAAAAGAAGTGCTGACATCTTTGGGCAGGCTGCATAGATGTAGTCTCTTGCTACTATGTCTGTTAAATATCAATAAATTATTATCAAATATTAAGAACAATAAAGTGCCTTACTTTTACATGTCTTGAGTTTAAGTGCCCATCTTTATCCTAGCTTTACACTACCATCAGTCAGCATAATTTTCTCATTCTGCTTGTAATAGTGGCCCTAAGTATATTATTAGTACCTGATACAATATTTTTATTTTTTTTATTGCTAGTGGGCTGGGACTAAGTCCCTTATACTGCAGCCACTTCTAGCCTATTGTACCAGCGCCAGATGATAGGTGAGGGTGATTGTGGAGCAATTGGTGGAATGAAGATTGGCAGGGGAAACCGAAGTACTCTGAGAAGACCTGCCCCAGCGCCACTTTGTCCACCACAGATCCCACTTGACCAAACCCGGGCCGCCGCGGTCAGAAGTCAGCGACTAACTGTTTGAGCTATGGCGCACCTGATACAATAACTAAGTAAAAATTTTACCTGAACATGGCATGTGCCAAAACATGTCCTAGACAGCAACTTCACCTGCTATAAATAGTGTTGTGTTGGCAGAAATATAATAAATGTTATCTATCATAGTGGAGTACAGTATGATGAAATAGCCTCTGCCATGCTTAATGTACTGAAATGTGGTGTATAAAGGGTGTTTAAATTACTGACAAAAAATGGATTTTTTAAGTGTTCTAAAATATAGATGTCCATGGAAAGTTTATGTTTTAGGAATAGAAAGAAAATATATTTATAAACAAATTGTAATATACAGATCAGGAAGAGAAGGACAACAGTGAGGAAGAACAACAAGTGTAGGACACTCAATATTAAAATGATACGATCAACATACTCTTCAAGAGGATTAAATAAATCATATGTAGGTATAATCCATGATGATGACAAATTAAATGGTCTATAGCATTAGGAATCAGTGAACTTAAACACCATAGCAAAGGGTTAAGGCTTACTGAAGTTAATGCTCTTAAAATAAAATAAAATGGCCTCAAAGATGTGGCATGTACAGTTGGCTTTGACTACATTACTTTGGAAACAAAACTGGCATTGCTAGGTAGATTTCTGCTGAATATTGCTGAATATGGAAATCCCTGTGTCCAGTGAAGCAAGTTCTGAATATCGGTATTTCACATTTGGACCCCCTAGTATGCATACCATTATTTCCCTGCAGGTACTACCAAAACTATTGAGAGTTTATGAAAACAATTATAGCCATTTTTGAGAAAATCTGATTCTGTGTTTTGGCGCCCACCTAAAGGAACACTATTTTAGGACCTAGTGTGTTTTCACCAGGTATTGACCCATAATGGATATTGTTGAATACTGAATATTAATAAAATCCATTGCAAAATACTATGACTATATATGCCTGGTTGGCCCACACATATGTCTGGTTTCAAAGATATATATCATCCATAGATGTTTCTGCTTTCATTGTTGTCAGTTTGCAGATTTGATTCCACTTTTAATTTGTCCTCACAAAGTTTTCTTTTGTCTCCATACCATTCTTGTTCTTTCAGTGTCCACCTTTATGTTTTATTCCCATTTTTTCTTGGTCCACAAAGGTAAAGGTAAATTTGTCCCTGTACTCAGTTAATTGAGCATCACAACATGAAAATGTAAGGGGAAATTCTTGACCTTGGTACCAAATGGAGGTGAGTGGTCAGCTTCATGCCCCTGCCACTTTACCCCTGGGGAAAGGGCCCCCAGTTCCCACTGTGTATAGGAGGCTGGACGGGCCCCACAGCTGGTCTGGGTGCTGTGAAGTAGAGACAAATAACTTTCCCATGCTGGAAATTGAACCCCAGCTGTCTAGCCTGCAGCCCATTGCTGTACTAACTGAGCCATTCCAGTTCCTAAACATATCGTTTTAACATTATTTTCCTTTATATGCTGTCAATATGTATTCTCATTTAACATTACCAATCTCTTCTACCCTATGAAAGAAAAGTGATGAAACTGGCCATGAAGAGTGAACTGAGTTACAGTCTGCTTGCCTGTTGGCCACACCCCCACCAAAGTCTGGAATCTCCCATTGCATAGTGGCCTGAACTGTAAATAAAAGCCAGACTGCTGCTGAGTAATTTCTTGATGTGACAGACAGTTCTCTGAAACATCAGCAGACGAGCTGAGTACAGCATGAAGCATCATGTAAGAATGGAAACAGGATTTATTTTCATCTTTATTCATGTGTTCTAAGTCCTTGCTCCAATCCTGCCCCAGTCATTCCATTAATACTCCCCAAGGACCCACTCTCCGCAGTCTGAAGTCTCTCCTGGTGCAGGTGCATGTTTCAATTTCATGTGTTAATATTACAGCAGAATAGCATTACCAAACTAGGGGTGTTACAAAGTGCAGGTTTTGATTTTTGTCCCAAGCACTGTGAAAGTCTGGCAAGAACCCAGAGAAGGTAAGTGTTAGAATTTCAGTGAAGCTTTGCTAGTCCTTGCAGGCTTGTGGTTTATGCAGGAAGCTATTTGACAGTTGTGTTAGTGTCTGGCTGTTTCACTGTATGTACTCACTGCATCACAGCTGCAGAATTCTTGGATATTGAAAAAGCCTTTGACACAATATGACACCCTGGCTCGTTACACAAATTATCTGCTTGGAATTTTTGACTGATATAAACAAGCTTGTTAGATTCTTTCTTTCTGGAGGAAAAAATCAAAGTTATTGTCAAGGGCAAAATGTTTATGCCAATGAAGTACAAGCATGGGTACCACAAGGTTCCAGCCTGTCACCCACATTGAAAAAAGTGAAGTCGTGCCTGTGTTAACTAATTTAACACCTTGGTGTGAAGATGCATGGAGGAGTAGATGTATAGATCCACATAGTCAGAGCAGAGTGGTCAGCTTCATTCCTTGGCTGCTGTACCCCTGGGGAAAAAGCCACAGAACCTGCTGGATATGAGGCTGTGTGGGCCTCAGAACTGGTCTGGATGATGATAAGATGAGAAAAATAGAACTCCAATCCCTTGCCTATCCAGCCCATAGCCAATTGCTATCCCAGCCCCTTACCTACCTTATACAGTATGTATATATATGATGCCACCAAACCGTAGGTGTTTATCTAACCCTTTTCACTGGTGACACTTTTATATGTGCAACAGATAGTGAAGAAGTTGACATTCTCAAACCTGTAGTGTAGTCTCAATTCAATAGAGACATGGTATAAGCACTGGAACATAAAATCAGTGTAGTTAAGACTCCAGCTGTATACTTGTATTTCTCCCATAGATGTAGAGTGATTGAGATTCATCTTACATTGAAATGACACAGCATTCCGTTTGTTTATCACATAAAATATTGAGGTGTAATCTTTGATAAAAGGATTACATATATAAATGACCAAATTTAAGGCCTTCAGAACATTTAGAGTTTATTTCATATTCAGAAGTGAGCACTTAAGCACTAACATTAAACTAACCCTCCATAAAGTACTGATTAGGTCAATAATGACTTATGCTTGCTCCACCTGAGAATTTATGGCAGACACATATCTACTGACATTGCAGCGCCTACAAAACAAGGTTCTCTGCACAACTAACAATTTTCCAAGGCACGCATAGGTTTGCAAATTGTATAAAGCCTTCAAACTACCATATCTTTAACGATTATATGACAAAATTATGCATACAGCAGCAGAAGGCATATAAAATCATAAAAATGCCGATGTTGGCAACATAGGACACAAACCCAGGCACAGAATATATGCTCATAAGTGGCTTAAACTGGGCAGTGGTGAAGTTTATGATCGTTAATGAGACTAAATTGCCATTGTGGCATGAGCTAAGTAAGATAAGGCATAATGTGCTGCACAAAGTCTGGATTGATAAGAGGTCATGTATATTGAATACGTATTACAACCTAAATCTCAAAGCTTTGTGTATTTGTATGATGTCAAGAAATATGTATATCATATGGGTGAGAAGGATTAGGGCACTTGACAATGGATAGAGCTGTCCTCTTCTTATAGAGGAAGCTCCAAAATGACTATGATTAACTGGCAGATTTAAGACTTAAAATATGGTCATGGGCTCCAAAGTAGGGGCTTGACACCAAACACACCAACTGACAGTCATTTGTAAAGTAACTTGGGACTTGGTTTCAGGGGGATCTGTAGATGATCCCATTGCAGCTTCCAGTCAGCAGTAATATGATAGAACAGCAAAACCAAACCAGTGGTTGTACATGCATTGCTAATCCTGGCCAGAGTATACATATCATCTGTGCAATACAAGTACACCCACTTGACTTGCACTCCAACAGTAACTTGTATTTGTGCACTATGTGACATAGCATCCCATAGCGATAAGGCCGGCTCCGGGACCCACACAGTTTCCTCTTCAGTAGCTCCTGGGGACCTCACTTCCATCTAGTGCTGAGGNCGACGCGTAAGGATTACAACCTCACCGCCATCTGTGAGCCGAATGTCTAGAAAATGTGGCAGCCTCGATGTCTCAAAACCCTATGGGCTTTCATGGCCTGTTACAGGGATAGTTTACCTTTTTTTTACGTGATAAAATCTAAAGACACAATATATGGATATTAGTCTCTGAAATTGGAACACTGTCGTTTACTGCTTATAACAAGGAATTCAAAATGCTCCAAATCACGCACGTTTGCTTTGTTATTACCATCACCCCTCACTTCCTGAAATCGCCCAAGTAATAGTTTTGGCAACATGCATAGTTGAAAACCGAGACAGTTGGCCGGTGTATGATATATGTACAGTATTGAATAAGTAATTCATTCTGCCGTTGAAATATTGCTATATTGATAATCGTGATCCCTTAATTGTAGTTTACACTTGTTGATTGTGCAGTGAGTAGTATTTGTGTAGCATTTACGTTGGTACATTTCAAGATGCAACTAATGGAGGACATGGGCTCAATATCAATGTATGAGAAGATTCATCGAAGAAGTGGGCATATAGCTGTAGTATATAAGGACCGGATGATTGTATGGGGAGGTTATGTGGTAAATATTGCCAAAAGTAGTTGCCGTATAATTAAGTTATTAAGTGGGAGATAAAAGTGGGGTTATGTTACAATGGTCTCGATCATTATTATTCACATTTCGCTCTAGTAGTTGCCGTGTATTATGCATACGAATACAAGTTTAACCCACCGAAAATATATGAAAAATGTAGGCCGAGCCAACCAGGTTTTGAGGTTCTCACGGCACTATAAGTTAAAGACGCAGACGTCAGTTGATATTTGATGTAGTCTGGTTCATATTAACCATACTCCATAGCCAAGAAGCCCGTAATTTTAACGCCAAGACGTTGTGGATATTAAATATATCCTAGATTATGGACACTGTCCAACATGCTTTCATTGAAATGAATCAACTCTTGTCACAAACAGCAGAGACTTATGATTTGAAGTGTAACATTGATATTGTAATGTCATGTGTGAGCTGAACTGGATTCGCATTCATTTGCACATGTTCCTGTTTTGTAGGACCATGTACAAGCAACTTCTACATCTCAAATTCTCAGTGCCTACCATTACAGTGATGAGTTGTGGATATATAACTGTTTCACAGAAATCTGGTGAGTATGTACTCTCATAATAGTACAAATGGATACTTTAGCCACGTTCATTTTTAATTTTGCTGTATAAAAGATTCAAGTGCTGGATCACGATGATAATCTTGCGACATGACAGTCGAAAGCTAGAGTAGTGGAATGAGTAGATGCGGTCATTGCTAGGTAATGACTCATAGTCACAGTTACTTTATGACAGTGGTTTACCACCCGTTATCAGTTCATTTTGGTGACAAGCACTTTGAGACTCACGACCAGCAATTCTTTTCAACTGAATACTTGCCTTCATAGTCCTTATGTAACATCCTCTCTGATGACAGGATGGGTCAGTAGTTTACAATTGGTGCTGGCCCTTGCCAGCGCAATCATTCTCAGGTCTGACTCCCGCTGGACTCGTTACCACATTTTACTGTCTCAAATTCAAGACTCCTCCAACCTGGAAGGTCATATGCCTGTATTTATACCCTCCAGGAACAGGGTGGCCCAGTTATACTCCTAGGCACTGGGTTCCCATTTTGTCACTTCCTACAAGTGGAAGTGTTCAGCTGCACCTCCATACGGGAAAATTACAATGACTCAGAGTGTCAGAGTTACTTTACAACTGGTGGTTATTTGCCAATCGGTTCATCTTGGCGGCAAGTCCCTTGAGATTCACAACACTTTGATTAGCCAAAGGTTGAGAAGCGATTATCTGTTCTTATCAGCTTATATCTGATATGTCCTGCATCACAGGACCAGAATAATAAAGTGATTTTTGGAAAATGATGGAGTGCTAGGGGTTTACTGCACCACTGTCACAGGTTGGCCTGGTATTGCAGTACAATGACTGCTCACTTGGTCCTTGTTATATAACCTTGGCATGGACTATGTAGAAGACATGGCTCCAATGGCTCCTTCACTATTGCACATTCATTCATGGCCATGGACATGTTTGGTGTGCTGTTGCATAGCGATGGCCACATCTATTTGTTCTGCTATTCCAGCTTTCAGCCATCATGTCACAGTATTAGAATATCTTGGAGAATCAGACTTTTATGATGCAGACTGAATTTGTTCTTGATAGGAACCAAAAGTAGACTTTTCTGTTAGTGATGTCAAATACTTGAGTTCAAGGGTCACTTTTAGTGAAACCTGTCCAGTCAGGAGGACTCATGTTCCAGTTTTCATGTTGGCTTAAAATGGGTAATAGTGTAAGATATACACTAATGTAGAGCAGTCAAGATGAACTGTCAGGCCTGTACTACGGAGGTCCAGAGCAAACAAGATGCCTGGCCCCCAGGCTGTGGTGTGTATTTGCATCTGTGTTTAAGAGATAAGATCTTACATCGGAAACTACTCTTCTGCTGGTATCAGTGAGGACTTATGCCTAGAGAATATTCCTGGCATTGAAATCACCAAGAAGAATCAGGTGGGCATAATACTGGTGAGAGTAGGCATTGCATGGAGTAAGTGTACAAATAGTCACACCTCTCAGTGGTGACTGTAAGGGAAACTCTGTGGTATTTTAACCTTGACATTGAACACTTTTAATACAAAAATCTGCCATTTGGCCATTGAAGGAAGTCAGTTCAGTACATAGCATACAACATAATGGCCTTAGTTAATTCTGTTAACAACTGTCTGTCAGTCAGTGCGAATTGTGGCAGCACAGGGTAATGTAAACAGCCAGGGTTGGGTAGGTTATCATACATTTATAATTTCATAAAGTAGGTCTTAACATTGGAAACCAATAGCAATCATGCACTTTTCCTTATTTCAGCAGTAACTGATTATGGCTTGTGTTAAGAAATTTGTTTAGCAAAAGAGAAGATGTGTGAATTACTTACCATTCATAAAATATGGTACAAATTAATACTTTCTCTTCCTGTCTCTCTTAGTGTATTATGCAGTCAATGATTTTGCCTTAAATACTATTGTTTAAGAATGTGTTTTTTGCCCTTGCATTTTATTGTTGTTTTTGTTGTCATCATCGCTGTCATTGAATACTACATTCATTTATAATGTGGATGGCCAGAGTGTCGCTAGGCAATGGACTGGTAAACGGACGTGATACATGCTCGCAACAGTGGAACAATGAGGTTATGCAACCTGCTTCTAGGCAACGGCTCAGTAAACAGACTTCTGCACAGGTACAATGACATCACGTGACTTATGTTGTACGTTGTCCATGCGGTGCATGTATAATGAATATCTGTTTAAGGTTAAGTCAGTGTGGAGAGGTAAGGAGAGCGCAAGGCATTTGAGAGACTAGTGCTTATAAGAGAAGTGAATTCAGTGTAGTAATTCAGTCGTAAGCTGGGAGAGCGAATTGGAACCAGGAGTACAGAAGAGAACAAGAAGTCAGTCTGTGAAGACTTGGTGTGTGATTTGAAGACTTTATGTGTGCAGTAGTGCAGTGATATTGGGAGTGTGTGATTTAGGGAGACTGTTATAGTTCCTGTGTTACAAACCTGTGAAGACTACTAAAGATAGACTGAGAAGATTAGTGTATCATGTTTGTAAATTGCATAAATGAGTTATAATTAATTGTAGTTATGACCTGCAGGTTGTTAATAAAACCAATTACCAATCCAAACCTGTGTCTTAGTCACCCAAAACATGACAATATTAAAGGGACACATTTTTTCAGGTTACTGTTTTCAAAAGAGTCATGTTTCTTTGCCAAACTATTTGACACAGTTCAGAAGGTACACACATGAGTTGATTAAGGGATTATTAAAGTTTGTATCACTATAAAGGAAAATTCTGTATAAGAAGTTTCAGCTGACTGGGGGTAAGATGGCTGTTGTAGTTTGAACTGGGGCAGTTGGTAATTGGAGATATAAGGTATCAAAACATGAATTATTTAGTTGAAGTAAAGAACTTTGGATCTTAGAGAGATAGGATGGGATGGTATGAATTGGATTGATTTGGCTCAGGATAGGGACCAGTGGGGGGCTCTTGTGAACATGGTAATGAACCTTTTGGTTCCATAAAATGCTGGGAAATTCTTGAGTAGTTGCACAATTGGTGGCTTCTCAAGAAGGGTTCAGTTCCATGAGTGAGTGAAAGAACTTTCTATGAGGGCTTGGGCATTCCCAGCATCTTGCTATCCAGAATGAAGAGGGATTTTATACTGTCATCTGAAGTAATAACCCATGGCACACCACATGTCAATGAGATCATTGTGGGGAAATCTAAAGGTAAAGTTGTCTGTGTGTTAATTGCATTGAAACTGCCATAGCTACCATTTCTGGCAGGTAGTTCTGTGGCTGGGCTTGGCATTCAAAGGGTTACTTTTGGCAGAATTCAACAGTGTTGTTTTTTCCAAAGAATTTTGGCAAATGTGGTTTTATGTATAATAAAGAACAGATTACTTTGTATGTGCCATACCAGAAAGCTAATAAAATTGGGAATGAGGGTCATTTTTGTCATTACCATTGTAAAGCGTTTTTTCTGGCGGCTCTTTGAGCAACATTCAGACATTTGGTATCTCTTAATGTAACAGCACCATTACCGGGATCTCTGGTAGCCACTTTATGTCTGGCCCCTAAAAATTTGGGCTGACATAGAATTTGTGAATTTGTTCACCACTAATATTATATTCACATTGTGAGTGATATTTCTCATTTTTTTCTGTTTGTTAATTTTATGTTTTACTTTGTTTCTGCACAGGGAAAGAATTTTAACAAAAGGAGACATTCCACCCAGAAATTCAGGATCATGTGGTGTATTACTTGAAGACTCCTTATATATATTTGGAGGTAATTATAATACAAAGTAAAGGAAAAGTTACCGTATGTTCTTATATATATAGATCTTGTTCAGTCACATAGCATACAGTGAAATATGAGGGCTATTCAGGAAATAAACTTCAGTGAGGTGTTAGCAAAATGAGGAATGAGAACAAATTATTATATGCAAAAAATACATACATACTTAAGCTATTTTTCAACATAGTCGTCGTCAGAAGTGAGGCACTTGTCATATTGGGGAATAAGCTTTGTATCCCTGTGTCAAAGAAGTTTGCTGCCTGTGAGCTCAGCCTCGTTTTGACACTTTCCATCAGCTCCTCATTATTGTTGAAGCACTGTGATCCCAACCACTTCTACAGATAGGTAAACAGTTGGTAGTCACGCAGAGTGAGATCGGGAATGTAAGGAGGGTGGTCAAACTACTCCCAGCTGAAATGCTATAGCGGTGCTTGATTGCAAGCAGCTGTATGTGGACGCACTTTGTCATGGAGGAGTATAACACCAGATGTCAGCATTCCATGCCTTTTGTTCTGAATGGCCCCATGCAGAATTTTTAGTATTTCACAATACACTTCTGACATTATTGTGGTCCTTTGTTGCATGAATGCCATCATCAGCACTCCCCCACTGTCCCAGAAAAGAGTTTCCATTTGCTTTCTGGCAGGCAGACAACGTTTGTCTAAACTTTTTAAGCTTGTTTCGTGAATTTGTGTGCATCCACTACTTTGACTGCTCTTTGAATTCAGCATTCACAAACGAAATCCAGGTTTCATCACTTGTTACTCATACAATGTGACTGAGAAATTCATTGCCATCTTTGTGGTGTCACTATAATAAAATCAAATCTGAAGCTATTGACTGCATTTTGTGTGCACACATGAACATTTTTGGAACCCATCTTGCATAAAACTTGTGATGATGGCCTAGCTTAACTGTGATGATCTCGTAGAGATGACTGCATATAATTTGTGGAAATTCACACAAAAGTTCCGAAGTTGTAAAGCGCTGTCTTTCACAAATATTTTGGTCAACACTTTGAACAAGATAATCATTCATTACAGATGGCCGGCCGGCCACTTTGCTGTCCATGTTGAACATTCCACACCACTGGCTTAGAGTCCCTTCACTCATTATATTTTGGTACATAATTAACAATGGATTTCCACAGCACTGATGTTTTTAGAGTGAAGAAAGTGGATAACAGCACGAACTGCAGAGTTAGCAGGATTATCAGTTGCAGGACTCATCATAACTCACTCTGTAGAGAGTAGAACAAACACTAGGTGACCAGTTATGTGATGGTTTACAAGGCAATGAGTCATAGAGACTACCTCACATGAGTGAGCTCCCCCTCACTCCTTCATTAGTTGCCTAAAATAAACGGAGGTTATTTCCGAATAGCCATCATAAATGAGAAGAGTACGGTCATCTGGGTTGTAACACTATGTGGTTGAGAGCAAGTAGTAATACATGTTATTTGAAAAGAGTTCAGTGTTTTGGAGGAACATGGCTTCCATCTTCAGAATTGAAGAGTAAGCCAAGCAAAAAACTAACAGTAACAGGCAAAAAGCTAAGCTGCCTGTGATATGTTCCTATGAAATGTTGGGCTGCCTGTAAACTAACTACACAGTGATACAAGCCAGAAGATTGTACTCCTCGTAATCACTGCTGTGAGAACTTTAGATCCATCATAAGTGGGAATGCCTGTGTTAATTTCTGCACCAAACATTGTGAGGGGAAGGAGGCAGGAATTTAATTTTAGTTCATAAAAATCCATTATAATCTGACTTTATGAAGAACTTGAATCAGACTTCATTAAGTTTCATATAAAAATTAGTATATGATAAAATAGAGAGCTAATTAATATTGAACAGCTTTTATTTGGAACACTTTTTGGTATGACAATGAAATACATGGAAAATAATTTTTCATTTCTGTAGTATGATTGATTAGCTTCATGACAATACATATTGTAACGTGTTTTGCTACTGAAGAAGCCATTCAGATTGTTAATTGGTTTATTTAACAACCTACAAATCGTAACTACAAATACTTATAACACTGTTACGGCTTTACACACTTTACAACCCTACACAATAATCTCTTCAGTAGTCTTCGCATATTTATAACGCGGGAGCTATACAAGTCTCTCTTAATTACACACTCCCAATATAACTGTACTACAGCACACAATCTTGAAGTCACACAATAAGTCTTCACTTTCTGACTTCTCAGTTATCGCACGCTATCACATAACATCTTCTAACCACGTGTTCGGGTCTTCTTTCTGCGGCTGCTGGTATATTTCAACTGTCTTCAGCGGCTGCTACATTTTAACTCAGTCCTTAGACAGTGCAGTTCTCTTATAAACCCTCAGCCAGAAAACGGGAAAACGCCTCGCTTCCTTGTTGTCTAGTCCCCGTGTTTACAGGTGTTGCTGGTAACGCTATCGAGAGTTGTTTATTGCTGCATAGCAACCGTGGCATCCCCTGCTACGTCACTGTTGTCACCTGCCATGTCACAGTGGGAAGCGCTGCCACGTCACTGTGGGGGAGGAAGCGGAGAGCTGACCGGCCCATCACCGTAGTAGCGGCAGCACTGTTATGCCACCACTGGCGGGGGAGGGGGCCGTCCTGCATAGCGCAAATACGTCACAATATATTATTTGCAGTAAATGTATGGCTAGATCACTGAAGAACACAAACATGCAGAAACATCTTTTCATTCATATTATCGTGGATAGTGGAAGAGTTGTATGTTTCTATTGCACATACTGTTAGTTTGACAACTGAAACGAACTATAAATGACAAGTATAATATCTTCTTACAGCAGGGATTAATACATTTATTCATATTTGTCAGTTTATGCACACTAAAATAATATGCAATAATTTGTTCATACTGGCAGAATGGTTATTTTTACTTTTAATTTATTATATAATAAATGCAGTACTGTCTCATTAATTTCATTGGTGTGTCACTTATTGGACTGAACTCTGCAGGATTTCATGGCGTGCGTGAACCAGGAGCGATGGATGGCAACAGTAACCAGCTGTTCAGGCTAGACCTCGGTACCATGACATGGGAAAGCCTCTATCCAACTGGGGATCAGCCAGCACCCTGCGATAAGCTCGCTGGCTGGGTGTACAATGGCAAGTGAGTTTTTCTTTCATGTGTACATTTTTGGACAAGCCTTTACCTCTGTAGAAAATGAAGCGACTTGTACAAGAGGTAAGCAGTCTGACAGGTCTGGTTGTATGAGGCAAGATATTCATGGCTTTCCTCAGTTGCTTCAGGGTATTCTTATCTATCCACTGCGGTAGGAGCTCCAACTTTATGACTGATGAGACCGGTGCCTGTAGTGGTATCTTTTCATGTTTTTATTTTTGTTATTGATATCACCAAACCCAAGCATACTAGCACAGCATTTTTTTGGCGAGCATCCCTCAATACTTTACAGTCTTTTATGAAAGTTCACCACAATTCTCTACTAGTAACCAGAAGTCATTGATTACATTTCTGATTCTCATTTGTATAAGTGATGATGACCATGATATGCAGAAATACAGAGATGTGTTTGGAACCAAGGCAGTGCTCTTGTAACAGCAAATTATGACTTGCACTCATATTGGCAATCTTGTGTGCTTACCACAGTGAATGGATATCATTCAACAACAACTTTCCTCTTTACCTCATTTGTCAGGCTTTCTCTGATGGTTATTTCAGCTGTTACTTCATTTAATTTCTTGCATGCAGTTCTGTAATTGCATAAGCTGTCTCTGTCATCTGTTATCTGTGGAATTTTGCAAGAAGCTACAGAAGTCGCAGTACAGTTGGAAGATTATACAGGCTGTAAATAATTATATTGTAGCATGTTTTGAGTTCGAATCTCGTTGGTCACGTGTGTAAGTTCAGATCCCACTTCTGACACCAAATGTAACGTGTTTCATTACTGAAGACGCCGTAGAAATTGTTAATTGGTTTATTCAACAACCTACAAGTAACGGCTACAATTAATTATCACACAGTTGCGGGGTTTCACACTTTATAACCCTAATCGCAATAATCTGTTTACACTGTTGCAGGGTTTCACGATTTATAACCCTATTCGCAAATCAATTCATTCTGTGTTCAGTAGTCTACACGTTGACAGTAGGGGAGCTACGTAAGTGTCCCTGTATCACACACTCCCAATTACACAACTACACACACGTCCGGTTCTTCTTTCCGCAAACACTGCTATACTCCCAACTGTAGGCTGCTGACTGGAGAACTGTCTTCAGCGCTGATACACTTTAACTGTCTCCGGGGATGGCTACAAGTTAACTCGACTACAACTGAACTCGGCGATAGCCACATTACAACTCACTCGCGTTACGTCACCGTGCGGAGGGGGGATGACGGAGCGCTGACTCACCCGCCGCGTCACTGCTGGTGGGGGGGGGTTCTCCGTTGCGCAACATGTCACAATATGTTGGTACAATACTCTTTGGTAGATTGATAGGTTCAATCTGATCATATATTGTTAATACACCAATGTCCGGAAACACTTCCTTTTGGCACTAAGGGTCAGAAATTTCCCTAGAGGATGCATAAATATTAGGGGATGTTATCATTGTTTTACGTTATAAAAGTTGCTCAAAATGGCAGCCGCCAACTTAATTGCATGTTCTGCACCACCTGGCTATGTTATGCTGAACTCCTTGAAAGATTCCTGGATGGTTCTAGCTCCTACTGCAATTCTTGTCACAATATCATGTCTCTCCACTGGAGACTCATACACCAGGCTTTGCATGTAACCCCAGAGAAAGAAATCCAATGGAGTTAAGTCAGGGGAGCGAGGGGGCCAGGTTGTTGGTGCTCCACATCCAATCCTTCTATTGCCAGAGGTTTCATCCAAATACTCACGGACGACATTAGTGCAGTGTGCTGGGATGCCATCATGCTGGAACCACAGTTCATGAAGGATTTCCAAAAGCACTACTTGCGGCAGCTTGGGTAATATCTCTTGGAGAAATGTTAGGCAAATTTCACCAGTAAGCCACAGAGGTAAGAAGTTAGGGCCAATTAAATGTCCATCGATAACCCCTGCCTACACATTGTTGTTGAAGCGGTGTTGATGGCTTTGGATATGCTTTGCATTAGGATATTCCTGAGGCCATGCATGGCTGTTCCTTGAGTTGAAAATGTCTTCCTTGGTAAAGGTCCTCCTTCACATTTCAGAGGCCCTAGCATGTAAACAAAGTGCTTCCAGACATGCGTGTATTAACAAACTATAATCGGATTGAACCCATCTATCTGTCACTGAGCGCTGTAACATATAATTATTTACACTCTGTATAAATCAGTATTAGCCTTTAGGAGATGGCATATAAACCCCACAGTGGACTAGCTGCTGGCCTGTGTTTATAAATGCCCTGGAATAAAGTTGATTGTTAAGAATTAACCCTTTTACCTATATTCAAAGTTCTGAAATGACCAGTCTGTATTTATGTTTTGTCATTTCACTGATGTGAACATTGGAGAATATTGAACATTTTGAGACATTTCAGAAATTTCATTGCAGTTTTGATGAATTCGCTATGTGTATGATCATGACATTGTTTGTCATGTACAGATGAAACCTCTGTTTTACTGCATCTGTGTGGCATCCTTTGTTAAAACATAACATGTTACTTTGGTAATGGTTTGGTCTTTTCCTACTTTCTCGTTAGAACTGAATGTCACAAGGTAGTAGTGTTCATGATTCATATTTCAGCCTGCAGACCAGATATCCTTGCTAAGGTTTATCATGAGTTTTCTCAGCCTATCCAAGCAATTGCTAGGATAGTACTGAAGAATAAGTGACCCACAACTGTGTTCTTCCATATTCTTCCCAATTCATAATCCTGTCATTTCACATTTGATGCTAAATACCATTTGTTGTTGACAGTACATCAATAAATAAAGAAACAAACCTAAAATACCCTTTGCAGTAGATGTATTCTCTTTAGCTGAATTGTTGTATCTTGCAGGCTTTACTTCTTTGGTGGTTTTGGTCCACAACCAGAATTTGGTGTCCCATTTCAGCATGTAATTGATCCTATCACAGAGTTAGCAGGTTTTCCCCGAGGCTGGAACAATCAACTGGTAGTGTACAACCCTGTCACTAATAGCTGGGAGTGGCCAAGAGTGCGAGGACCCACTCCTTCACCTCGAGCAGCCCATGCAGCTGACATATCAGGCCACAAGGTAGGACAGATGTGATTTTCATGGAGCAGCCAGAAGAATTTACACGGTGTGTCCAGGATCCATTAGAACTCGTTTTTTTTTTCTCAAATTTTGCCCTGCAATGCCATCTTTTGGCAAGTTGTGGTGTTAAGATTCTTGAAGTTTCAGCTGTGGCTGTCTATAATTTCAAAGAGCAAGCATCGCTGCATCATGTGTTCTGACCTTGAATGTAACAGTACTGTTCTGACGCTTGTTGGAAAATGGTGGTTGAACAGAGAGCCAACATCAAATTTTGTTTGAAAGGCAAAAGAGCCGGAGAAGCATACGAAATGATGAAAAGTGTGTAAGGTAGTGATTGTTTGAGTCGCTCAAACATTTTTTGATGGCATGCTGTATTTTGTGACAGCAGGAAGGACATTGAAGACGCTCCACGGGCATCAAAGCTGAGAACAAGTTGCACTGAAGAAAATGTGAAAAAATGACCGAAATCCTTGCATCAGACAGATGTGTTTCTGCAAGACTCATCGAGGAGCTTTTGGGAATACCAAAAAGTACTATGCATCAAATTTTGATCAAGGATTTAGGCAAACAGAAGGTCTGTGTGCGGTTTGTACTGCACGCCCTGTCAGTTGATGAAAAACATGTCAGAGTGGAACACTGCAAAGACATGTTTCAGTCATCCCAAAGTGATACAAAATTTACGAAATTGATTGTTACTGGTGACGAGACATGGTGTTTTTAATGTGAGCCTCTCACAAAGCGGCAGAGTGCAGGGTGATTGAGCCCAAAGAAACCGAAACCAAAGAAAGTGCGCATGCAAAAGAGTAAAGTAAAAACACTGCTAACTGTTTTCTTCGATTCCAAAAGGAATTTCTGCCAGAAGGTCAAACAGTGAATTCTGATTATTATCACGGAGTCCTCAATCGTTTATGGGCGAGAATTCTTCGAATTCGACCTGAATATTGAGAGCAAGGTTCCTGGTCACTCCTCCACGACCATGCCCCACCCCACAAATCTAAGATCGTGCACGATTTTTTGGCCAGAAAGGGAATCACAGATACAAAGATATTTTGCACTTTGTGTGTGAAACAGTTATCTTACATAATTGTGGAACATGGTCTCTTGCTTTGAAAAAATATATGTTGGAAGTATTTTAAGTAGAAGGCTAATAAAAAGATTGTGTTTAAGAGTGATGAATAGGTAGAAAATGGAAAGAAAAAAAAGAACTGCATAGAAAGCACATTCTTTCTATGATGGGATTTCTTCCCATTTAGTTAGGCAAGATTGTGGTGGGAAGAAAATCTTGAGTACTGATATAGAATGTGTGTGCTATTTTAAAATTAATTTTTCACAAGGTGTGGTGATGTGAAGCACATTGAACTGGCTGACAAAGATATCAATGTCATTGTATCATTGCTTTTTTGTGTATCAGTAAAATGGACACAGATCATAATATGCTAGAATATATTGTTTTTTTTCTTCAGGCTTTTGTGTTCGGTGGTCGAATTGGTAACACACGGAACAATGATCTACACTGCCTTGACCTGGACAAGATGCGGTGGAGTGGCAAGTGAGACTTAAATTTTAATTATTTTTTTTTGTTTGTTCTTTGCAAAAAGTGCATCAAATAAATGCAGTGTGTTGTCCACATATAACATTTCCAAAACTTGTGACAGATTTTGTTTAAATTTGGTATGGAATGGTTTCACCAACAGTTGTCCGATGACTTTAATGTTGGTCTGTATTGGTCCAACATAATCATTGTGTACATGAAGCTGATATAAAAATGTACTGATTGTATGAAAAGGATGGTTCATTGCACAGAAATTAGTAGTCTTGAATTTCTAGAATCAAATTAAGACAGACACTCTTGATCTCAAACATTGCTTTTTCATTTCTGAACTTTAAGAATTTTCAGATAACTGCTTTTGGTTTTTGCAGAAACATGCCAACAACCCTACCCATCAGACTCATAATGTTTGGCAGTGCTAGAATGAATCAACTTGCTATTAAACTCTGCCTCCTGCCCCTCTCTCTGCCCATGTTGAAAGAGGACATGCCCCTAGAAGTTAATTTTTTCAGTACAGTGATTATGAAAATTTTACACTGAAAAAGGATGTGGATAAGTAATGCACTTTAACAGTAAGTTACAATTGAAGTGAAAAAAAAAATTGGTCAAGGAGAGCAAAACTTCTCATTCTCATCTCACTTCATGAAATTTCTACAAATTCTTGTCTCACTCAATTTTTTATTTGAAAAAGTTGTTCTTGCATATGCAGAAGTAGGTTTCATTGAGGTCTCTATAATTTGGTGTATTCATTCTTTATTTGCCGAAGTCCACGGGAAAATAAGTTCTGGCTCTTTGTGGTGATAATATGTACTATGAATGGTTTTGCAAGAACACATTTTTATGTACAGTAAATTAAATCCATCACCACTGAGCAAAATAGCAAAGAATACATTTAGAAATAAATATTCTGCATGAGAGTGCAAGTTTCTCTGTCCATGTTGCTTAGAGAGATTCTTGCAGTTTTGGGTCCATGGCTCTGGCTGCCTTGTTACTTTTGTGAGTTCTGTCCGCCAAACGCTTGTTTTTAAAGTATGTTTGCTGTGTAGTGCACCTTTCAGAATATTTCTAATTTCCTTCTTTGTACTTAACTCCAGTTGTTCCCAAGGACTTTTGCTAGACTTTTTTTTTTTTTTTTGTCAGTTGCAACATGCAGAGGTAAGCCTGACAGGCAGGCCAGCTTTCAGCTGTTGCATGTATGTCTGACCTAAGTATTTAGTGGAAGGAAACAGTATTTCATATTGAAATATTTCACAAGCACAGTTTAATGCTTATGCCTTAAATTTTAGCATCTCTTTGAAACCTTGCAGCAATGCATTGAAGTACTGAATGTTGATCACACCTCACTTGGAAAGGTGTGAGTGATGATAAGGATATCATAGATATGTATGTGCTTGTTTGTTGGACAGCTTGACTCGGCCATATGACCTGAATCCTGAAGGCAGATCATGGCACAGCTTTACATTTATAACCGACACACGAGCCATTGTGTATGGAGGTCTCAATCAGTACAATACTGTTCTAAGTGAGTACACAGATTTAAATAGTTTAATGAGAGAAAAATTCACAGGTATTAAATTATGTAGCTGAACTCTGAAATGTGCCATATTTGATCAAGTATAATGTGCACTGTTTTTTCTTACCAGTGCCTCCAAAAAGGGTGACTTCACATTGTAGTATTCACACATGTTCACTCCTTTTAGATATAGTATTCCCAGAAGGTATCCTTGTTTACATTTTTCCTCTACATTATGACAGCTGTGAAAATATCACTGTAGTTTCAGAATCCAAATGAACTTTGGGTAGGCACTATATTTTGGGTTAAATAAATTCAACAAAATGCAGCACTTAATAGAGAGATGTGTTGGATGCTTCTAGTGCTGTGTTTCTGTTCCAACTTGTAACCTGCTGGTTAGATATTCTTTGCGCAAAGCAGAAAGAGAGGAAGCATCAGCGGCATGCCATTTTATCCTTTGCATCTTCCAAGTCCTAATCCAGTTTTTGGATTTTAATGAAGTTTTGTATTATGGACCCATACTATAACTTGCTGATTGGTATTGATTTGGGTATTACAAGCCATATGAAAGTGGAGTTTTATGTTTCCATAACACAGTCCAAAGATTCCTGGACCCCTGGAATTTGCTGACAAAGTGTTAACATAGGTCTTTCATGTAAGAGTATTGTGACATGACAGCTGAAAGCCAGAATAGTGGAACAGAAAAAAATGAAAAAGAGGTAACCATTGCTATGCAATGGCACAGTAAACATGAAACAATGGAGGAAACACAGAAGCAATGTTTTATATGTGGTCCATGCTGAGGTTATATATGACGAGGACCAATGGAGCCGACAGTCAATTGGGAGTCAGAGATTGGAGGCAGCAGTTACCAGTTTAGAGCCTTGAGTTGCGCTGTTAGATGCTGCTGCCAGGCAACAACTAGTGAAGGCATGGTGAACTGAAAGGGCTGAGTGTTTGCAGTAGTGATTTGTAGAGTGTGTAGGTTAGTGGAAGTGTTGTAATTATTTGTAGTTATGAGTTATAAGCATTTACTAAACCCAGTTATCAATTGAAACGCCATGTCTAGTCACAAACACATTACAGAATATTAAAATATATCATACTTCTGTACTTGAAATACGTGGCTTCTTCTTGAGGCAAATCACAAGCACTTTTTTTTTTGTTTCAAGTCATTTAATAATGCTGTCAGTATCAAGACCATGTAGCGTTAATGGCAGGATGACTAATGAATGTGAAGCAGCTGGTGGAATGAGAATTGGCAGAGGAAACTGGGATTGAGCCTAGTCTACCTTGGTGGGTAGCTGGTGACTAACCACTTCTGCTATGGTTAGGTCTATGAGCATGTTTCATTTTCTGGACCTTAGCTCTTCTGTAAATGACAACATGGCACTGGGCCCTGTTTAAGTGCCAAAAGGGGTAAGAGTAAATGCAAAATGTCAAGTCGGACTCAGGCGGTAGTTCATTGGTCTTTCACTGTGTCCACAGATGAAGTTCGCTCTTCTTATGCATTGACTTAATGACTCTTTGTCTGATTTCATTACCCTTCTAGAGGCACTTTGGAACAACTCTGTTTTTAAAGTGTGATTTGTGCCTGAACTAACAGAAGTACAGAAATATAACAGATTTTGTCTCGATATTTAGGCCCCACATTTGATGCCTCTTAGGAAGCTGTAGCCAACTACTAAGGTACTCGGAAGGTCCACAGCTTCACTGTATAGGTGTTGGATTCCTAAGGAGGAGTCATATCAGCATAAAGGTGGAGACAGATGACAGGAAATTTATATTGCAGAGTTTGGGCACCAAAGAAATTGGATTCTCAATGACAGAGTTAACTTCAGATTTCCTCCTTTTCTTGATATGCAAATTTTGAATGGTTAGTTTGTGCAAGGCAACGTTGACTTCACTCAAGGTGTGTTAATGGCAATAACTCTTGTCATCCATAAGTCACAGTGCTGCTGAATTAAACACCCAAATTTGAGGAAGCCCTCTGCATTTTTCAACTTTGCACTTTTTATATGCAACCTAGCAATGTTTAAGCACAACTGTGGTGATTTATCACTGTTCTTTAGATTTGGTTAAGGTAAAAATATTTTTTTGATTTTGTAAATACTATATTTACAAAGAAAGAAAATTAATTTCTGGCTATGCTTTGAGATGTTTGTGGTGTGATTAGCTTTACAAAAATAGATATTGTAACGTGTTTCGTTACTGAATACGCCGTAGAGATCGTTAATTGGTTTATTGAACAATCTACAAATATCGGCTACAATTAATTATCACAATGTTACGGGTTTCCACAGTTTACAAACCCTACAACAAAATCTCTTACACTATCTTCCAGAGTCTTCACGTATTAATAGCGCGGGAGCTATACAAGTCTCGCTGAATTACACACTCCAAATATAATTGGTTATCACGAACTATCGCTGATTCTCGCACACACGTCTGTAGCTCGTAACTTGCGAACTGAGAACTCGTTGATAACACATTGACTCTCGCTTGCTGCTCAGCCGGCTCTTATTCCGTTCGCTGTTGCTAGGGTCGCCCGCCACGTCACTACTGTGACGTGGCGTATAGCCTAGCAATGCTGTTACCTCGCGCTGTCTTACGTCACCACGGAGGGGGTGGGGGGAGGGAGTGGTACATTACCGCCACGTGCCGCTAGGGAGGTAGGGGTCCTCCATTGCGCAACATGTCACAATATGTACCTGCAATAGATGAACATCAAGGCCAGTGAACTATGTAGACAGGATAGAATGAATTTGGAAAATATGTGTACTTTACTGTAGTACACTTTTTTCACTCTTGTTGTACTATATGTGAAATCTTCAAAAAGTTTGGGACATGAGTCATATATAGAATGTGGCAGCACTGAGAACCCTTTCAGATGCAGTTGCCTTCAAAATACTATCCTTCAGCAGCTGCACACCTGTGCCAGTGTTCATACAGCTGTTTGAAACAGTTGTGGGACCCATCATGAACAGTCTTTTGCAGGATAGTCTTTGGAACCAGATGAGTGTGTTAATTTTGCTAGACATAGACATTGAAATGTCAATATCTGCCTGAGTATGATTGTAGATTTTGGCCCAAATGCTCAAATGTCTTGTTGCGTGCCATATGATTTGAGAGAGATTTTGATAGTGTGGATATTTGGAAGGTGATTGCTGGCTCCTGGATCTCATGTCCACAACTCACTGGTGTAGATTCTGGTGTCAGCATTCCAAGCCTCGACTTTGGCACAAAGCACAGTATGTTGCTACCTGCGGGGAGCTCCTTATTATTGGTGGACACAGAGCAAACATCCTTGATCCTACTGGACGCAAAGTGAGTCTGATTCTAGCAAAGTTGTGTGTGGCATTGTATTTGTAGTTTCTGTGGTATGTCTGTCTTGTATTTTTAAGTACATATCAGTGTGTGGTATTCCATTGGGAAACATCTTAAATAACCCTTGTAATTAGTTTATCATTAAGTAGTCTATCATGAATTGAAGTGGCATAGAGCACAGATGGAGGCTTTTGTTCTTTGCTTGACAGTCTTTCAGTTAAGACTGATTATTGCCAGGCACTGTCACAATCTTTGCCCTCAGTATAATTGTTAGTAGAAATACGGGTACTCCTCGTTATATGCAGTTTCATTTTGATTCAGTCAACTAATTTAATACCAGTGCTCATTTTAATGCAGACTGCCTGCTGACATAACACTGTATGATATGAATTCAGTGAAAGTAATAAATTGCTGTTCGTAATGAATTAAAGTCTCCCAAATTTGGCAAATGCTCAAGTTCCCCATTAAACTATTTGATTTTGGTAAGAAGATTAACTAATTTATTCTTCTGATGAATTGCTGTTTACGATGCTACAGACTAGTAGTGTAGGCCTTGATCAGCTCAGCAACATTCCTCCATTGCTTTCTGTCCAGCACTTTTTCTTGCATCCACGAGTTCCAAGAATTTATAGGTCTTGTTCAACCCTACATAGTCACCTCCTTTTTGGTCTTCCTATTCTTTTAATACCCTCTGGCTCTGAGAAAGTTATTTTCTACTGAGTTTCATTAAATTTTTTTGAAGAGATGCCCAGCCACCTCTCTTTCTGCTTTCACTACTTTAATTTTATCTGAATCATCATATGGTTGATATAATCCAGTGTGGGAGCTGCTCACATTCAAGCAAACGTTACAGTGACAACACAAGTATCATTGCTTAGCAACAGTGAGTAAACAGCTGTTGCTAGGCAAAGCGAATAAACAGCTGTTACTAGGCAAAGCCATAATCAATTTTTGTTTGTGGGACTATAAATTTCTCAGACTTCTTAATTTATTTCTATCACTTTTCATTGAATGCTTATCATTTACTGCAGTATGTGAACATAGTTCACAGATGAATTTTACATATTAGTAGTTTGCATTTGGTCGTAATGCTAAGGTGGTGTTTCTGTCTACCCACAAGTCAAAATTATGATTTAGAAATTTGAGTAAGAGATGTGAAAAGGAAAGATCGAGTACCAAAACAGGCACCAAATAAAAAGGATGTGAATGAGCTGAGAGTATTCCCAAGTTTTCACCATCTTACCCACAGGACCCTTCAAAAGTACTGAATGTTTTACAATAAATTTAGATTGTAAACCATGAGCAAAAAGGGGACTAGCAAGTTCTGGAAGAATGTGAGAGACCTACTTTCCTTTAAATGTTTTGGTCTGTATACTGAGGTTAGCAGGAACTGGAGATGAGTAATTTTTCAGTTTAGTAATACATTTCTCTCTATAGCTGTCACTAGTATTGAGTCCAACTGTGTTAGATTTATCAGGTAAAACATCAGTTTCACAGTGTCACCACGTTTGTAATATTTACATATAAAAATGATTCATAAAAGATTTCTTGTCATGTTTAAGGCTTATCTCCATACAGAATTTCAGAATGTTTATTAGTTATTACTGTAAAATTGAAAATATAAGTATACCGTATTATTTTACATTCAACAGAAATATGGCATCAGCAAAGATGCTATTGCAGTGATTGACTTTTTAGGCATTATCCATTGTCCCATTTCCATTTAAAGTGGCATTTTGGAGGCTGGACTGTCCTCATCCTCAGATAAAAAGCCTACTGAGTTGGGTTGAACTAATATACTTGGTCCCTATCTCTGGAGGTAATAAGGATGAGACAGAGTCTAATGCCCAGAAGGTTGCTTTAAATAAAAATGGGACAGTTGATAATGGCCAAAAAGTCGGTCATTGTACTAAAATAGCATTGTCATATATCTTTTACTGTGTCAGATTTTGAGGTACTATATTAAATGGCTCTAATACTGCTCCCAGCTCAGAAGATTGCATGATGGTAATGCTGATATTGTTTATGGTAGAAAATTGAAACACAGAAAGATTGGCTTCAAAAGGTTGGATGTTTCTAGCAAGTTTCATGAAAAGATACACTTACAGACTTCATGATACTATACACCCATCATTTAAATAAAAATATTCTGGCATAGGGTGTGCAAAAATGTTCTGAAAGAATTTTGTATACCAGTTGAAACGTAGTTAGGTCCCTTAGCACCACGGCATGGTGCATCCTCAGGTCACAGATGGGGGAGACAGCCTCCAAATATGTAGGGTAGCTGCGAATAAATTGAATAAGCAATCCCAAACAGCTGACAAGGGATGATCCTCCAGGTTTGGTGTTGACCTTGGGGCTAACAACTCCTAACCATAAGAAATAAGCTTGTTGTGAAGATCACAAGAAGCCTTGGACCTGGACAGATTCTTTGGATAAATGACCTATGTGAAAGAAAATGGGTATGATATTTAATACTTGCAATGTTAGAAGTATGTATAGGGTGGGTTCACTCAGGGCAGTGGCGGAAGAAATCTCAAAATATAAGTTAGATTTAGTGGGAGTACAGGAGGTCAGATGGGACGGAGGTTGCACTGAACAAGCTGGTGAGTATCAATTTTTCTATAGAAAGGGATATGAGAATCATGAATTAGGTACAAGTTTTTTCATAAATAAGAGAATCATACCAGCAGTTAAGTGAGTAGAGTCTGGCGTACACAATACTAAGATATCACTGGTGTGATATCATTGTTCTGATTGTTCATGTCCCAACAGAAGATATAATTGATTATATGAAAGACAGGTTTAATGAAGAACTAGAACATATATTTGATAAATTACCTAAATACCATATGAAAATTTTGTTGGTAGATTTGAATGCCAAAGTAGGTAGAGAAGACATTTTCAAACCAACAACTGGGAATGAGAGTTTACACAAAATTAGTAATGGTAATGGAGTTAGAGTAATAAACTTTGCTGCATCCAGATATCCAATTGTTAAAAGTACAATGTTCCCATATTGTAACATTCATAAACTTACTTGGACACATCCTGATGGAGAGACACAACCAAATGGACCATTTCTTGATAGATAGGAGACAGCATTCAATTATACTTGATGTCCAATCATTCAAGGCAGCGGATTAAATATATTGACCACTATCTGGTGGTGGCAAAAGTTAGGGAGAGACTGGCAGTGAGTAAACAAACAGCCCACAGAATTCATATGAAGGGGCTCAATCTCAGGAAATTAAACAAGGTAGAGGGTCAAGAGCAGTATTGTATTGAAATCTCAAATAGGTTCACAGCTTTGGTAAACTTTGACACTGGGGTGGATATTAATAGAGCTTGGGAAACTATTTAGAGAGAATATCAAAATTTCTGCCAAACACAGTCTAGGTTATTATGAATTGACAAAGCATAAGCCATGGTCCGATGAAGGATGCTCAGAATTATTAGACCAAAGGAAACAAACCAAATTGCAGTGGTTACAGGATCCAAGCGAGTTAAATGGGGATAATCTGAACAATATAAGATATGAAACCAGCAGGCATTTCAGGAGTAAAAATAGGGAATATCTGAAAGACAAACTTGATGATGTTTCAACGAACAAGAACATTAGATACCTGTATAGAGGCATAAATGACTAGAGGGGTCACCAACCTAGAAGTAACTTAGTGAAGGATGAGAATGGCGATCTGCTTGCAGATTCCCACAACATTTTGAATAGGTGGAAAAACTACTTCTCTCAGATATTGAATGTACATAGGGTCAGTGATGTTAGGTAGATAGAAATACATACAGCTGAGCTGTTAGTATTTGATCCTAGTCCTGTTGAGATTTAAATTGCTATTTAACAATTGGAAAAGGTATAAATTGCCAGGCAGTGATCAAATTCAGGCAGAACTGGTTCAAGCAGTAGGTGAAACATTATGGTCTGAGATCCATAAACTCATTAATTCTATTTGGCATGAGGAAAATTGCCTGATCAATGGAAGGAGTCTGTCATTGTACTAGTTCACAAGAAGGGTGGTAACACTGACCGTAGTAATTATCAGGGGATATCACTGCTATTAATTTCTTATAAAATTTTATCCAGTATTCTCTCAATGTTAAGTTCATACATAGATGATAGTATTGGGGATCATCAGTGTGGATTTTGATGTAACAGATCAATTACTGAGCAGACTTTTGCTTTCATCAGATACTGGAGAAGAAGTGGGATTGCAATGAGATAGTACATCAGCTATTCACAGACCCAAGAAAGCCTATGATTCAGTTAAGAGGAAAGTATTGAGCCATATTCTCATAGAGTTTGGGGTACCCATGAAGCTAATTAGGCTAATTAAAATGTGTTTAAACGAAACATATAGTAAAGTCCATAAAGGTAAGCATTTGTCTGATAATTTTCCTATCCAGAATGGTCTAAACCAAGGGGATGTTTTATTGCCACTGCTTTTCAACTTTGCTATAGTATATGCCATTGGGAAGGACGAGGAAAACCAGGCGGGACTGAAATTCTGAAATGGGACACATCACCTTCTGGAATATGATGATAATGTAAACCTTCTGCTTGATAATATGAATACCATAACGAAAAACATACGCATTTTAATTGACAGTAGTAAAGAGGTTGGTATAGAAGTAAACACAGAGAAAACTAAGTATGTGTTGCTGTCTCCTCACTAGAATGCAGGGCAAAATCATGACATAAAGATAGGTAACAGATGCTTTGAAAATGTGACACAGTTCAGATATTTGGGAACAACTATAACAGATAACCTGATTCAGGAAGAGATTAAGAGGAGATTGAACTTGAGGAATGCTTGCTACCATTCAGTCCAGAAACTCTTTTCTCATCTGCTGTATAAAAAGATAAAAATTAGAATATACAGAACTATAATTTTGCCAGTGGTTCTGTATGGGTGTGAAACTTTGTCTGTGACATTAAGGGAGGAAAATAGACTGGGAGTGTTAGAGAACTGGGTGTTGAGAATATTTGGACTCAAAGAGAAATGAAGTGACAGGAGGTTGGAGAAAACTTCATAAGTTGGACCCTTCTCCAAGTATAATTGGAATGATCAAGTCAAGGAGGATGATGTGAGCAAGGCATGTAGCAAAAATGGGGAGAAGAGGATTGCATATAAGATACTGGTGTAAAAGCCAGAAGGAAAGAGACCACTAGGAAGAACAAGACATAGGTGGGTGGACGATATTAAAATGGATCTTAGAAAGATAGGATGGGATGGTATGGATTGGATTGATCTGACTCAGGATAGGGACCAGTGGAGGGCTCTTATGAACATGTTAATGAACTTTCGAGTTCCATAAAATGTTGGGAAGTTCTTGAGTAGCTGAACAGTTGGTGGCTTCTCAAGAAGGGCTCAGCTCCTAGAGTGAGTGGAGTTGAAATTTATACACATCCTTACTGTTGTCTGAGCAAATTGAGTGTGTACATCAAACGAAAGGCCACATAACACAGCATCAGTCACTACGATGTTGTGCTTCTCCAGATGACTGCTGGTTGCTCACCGTGTATAGTGAGGGCTTGGACCATGAGTGGCAGGAATTTTTGTTGCCATATGACCATGGTGAGCCACGCTGCAGCCACACTGCTTGTCTTTTCCCAGCAGCAGGTGAACTCCTCATTCACTCTGGTTCAACCCAACCATTTTTTGAGACACGGCTCAAACTCAAAGTAAATACAGTTTGTATGTGTTTATTTTTCAGGCAGGGTGAAAGTACAGGTACTTGCTACTGGCAAGTAATTATCTGCACCCCAAAATATTTTGTGTGGTTGCCTGTTACTTTTCTGTCCTGCCCCAGAATATAAGTTGTGTACGTTTCAAAGAATTATCACCATATAAAGCTTGAAAGTTATATGTAAGTGGCATGATTGTGTCTCCAGTATTGCAGGTTTCTGATAAGATAGTAGAAACATTTCATATTATTTAATAAAAATCAGTAAGTTCATGTAAGTTACATTGTTGATATTAGTTACATCAGGGGACAGACAAACAGATTGACTATGTATGCATGTGCACATCACTAACAGCACAAAAGTATTTCTTATAGTTGCCATGTTACTGTTTTCCATTTTTAGACCTTTAAGAAGTAAACAGAATGACTTATGTGGAGATCATGGATGTGCATCTGTCTATGACTGAGCATCAGAGTCTAAACTACTGGATGGATTTTCTAAAATGTGAATAGGATATTCCTATGAAAAGTTGCTGGTAGTTCCGATTATCAGGCACATTGATCCATAATAAAACCTACTTTACGTAAAGCCATGCATGGTCTTTTCCATGTATCCCATAAACCAATTCAGAGATATTTTGTTGAAATTGGATATCGGTGGCTTTCATCAGAGTTGTCAGGGAGTTCCAGTTTTCAAGCACATTGTTCCATGATGACACCTAGTTTATGTAACACTATCAATGGACTATTCATAGTCACTCATAAATTGTTTCACACACTTTGTTGAAATTTGGTATGGGAGACTTCTGCTTAGTGTTGTTGGGCAAATCCAGTCTTCAGCCATTTGATTCATAATAAAACCTAATTTCCACAAATCCATAAATGCACTTTATTATATATCCTATAAACCTTTCCACAGATTTTATTGAAATTTGGTATGATAGACTAACAGAGTTGTATTTTATTGTTCCTATGATTTAGTAAGCTTAATCATTGTGAAAGAACACCACTCATAATTTTGTATACTGCATTATTGAGTACGCCCTTTCCACCTTTATTTTTAAAAAAGAAATACCTCAATAAGGGTTAATTTTCAAATATCCAACTTCATAATTTGAGAACAATACATTGAGTGGCACTAGTGTGGCTCCTATCCGACAGGTTTGTAGACATGTGGTTGATATCGTTTATGTCGCAGTTCAGTGGAAAAATGTACTCCAGCAGTGTACACATATTTTCCAAATGCATTCTTTCCAATGTTGCATACCTGTTTGTCTTTTATGTTCATTATTTGTAAATGTAGGTGTACTAAAGTCAGGGACATTTTTTTTGGCCAGTCAAGGTTAGTACCTCATCATTTATTACCACAAATAAAAATACTGGTACAAGAAATGAATTTGTATGGAGTTTTGATACACAGTTACATATGTTGGCAGGTAGTGAGAGGTAGCCCTGCAGATCAGTAGTGGAAGGTGATGGAAATCCTTTGACTGGCCAAAAGAATTGTCCCTAACTACAGTACTTCTTGCTGTTTCATACCACATAGAGTCAGAAGTATTTCATTAAATATTTATTAATGTAGACAAAAGGTTCCAAATTGAACTTATAATACCCACTTTTCTATTACAAAGACTTCAGTTCTGCAAATCTCATGTTGTTAATGTCATGTTTATGTAATATAAATACAGAGGGGCCAAAAAATGTATCTGCACTTCAACATACAGAAAATCTACTTAAGTAATTTGTTTGTATATCTTTTGTTGAACTTTGAAAATGTGTCTAAGTAATCTCTATGAAAGTGTGTTATAGAGATTATCTTAGACATTTTTAAAGTTGAACTGAAGGTATACCATGAAATTGTTTAAGTAGGTACTTTGTATGCTGAAGTGTGTGTATTTTTTGACCCCCTCTCTACATAATCCATTGCAGTTTAGCTACATGGGTTCTTGCGCTGGACTAGTGTGCGCATGGCCATGGCATCTATGATGACTGAAATATGTTTTGATTTACTTTATATCAATACATTCATATTTTTATTAACATCAAGATAAGTGAGGTATGTCAGATCACAAAGTATGCACTGGGAAAGTATATGTACCCCTTTAGTGTACATCTTCCCTCCCTTGGTAATGTGGTACACTAGTATATATAATGTGTTCTGCTTTGTGCTGTGTTCATGTTGAATTCCCATAACAAAATGTAGGCTTATGGGCCTATGTTACTTATGTTACTTTGGTTACTCATGTATTTGGCAAATGATCTTGAATCAATAATCAGATCTTTGTGAAACATGGAGTGAGATTTCTGACATCCTAACACAAGTTTTCACAACTGAGGGTTTTGTGTGTGCATGCATGCATGAAACAGAATGCATGAATTTCAGAATGTAATTCCAGCCACCAGCTTGGATTAGTTATTTGTTAATGTTTGTAAACATTTTTCAGCTGGTATTTTTAACATCAGAATTCTGGTCTCATGATTGTAAATTGTAAATCCTTTAGGCAATCTGTGCATTTGATTTTCATACCTGACTGATTTTTCATATTGTCACAATATTAAACTAAATCCACAAATGGATCAAGATTAACTTCTTAGACAAGATCATCTGGGGATGAAATCTCTTCTTGATTTTGTGTTGGGGTATATATACTAAAATATTAATTATAAAGGGGTGCTTATTTTTTCAGTTGCTCAATTAAGTAACATGATTGCATAAGTGTGGTATTTCTGCCCCAGATTTTCACCAAATTTGATATATATTGAGTGAATTTACATGCATAATTTTTCCTTCTATTATAGTAAACAGAAGAATAATGTCAGTTTATGCTATTCCAGAACCTGGAACATAACATGGTCCTGTAAAGATTAATAATGTATTGGAGAACATTTATAAATAAATGTGCCTCTTTTGTACCACATGATTTGACCCATTTCTGTTGCACCGAATCTTGCATTAAAAGTATCATTACTTTATAAAGGATAAAACAATTTGATCCAGTGTGACTGTTGAAGTTTTTACTACTTCAATTCTTAACACCCTCAATAAATTAGTAGAAGAACAAAAACACATAAAAGAAAGTAATAACCAACATAACATGTTCGACCTCGTAATACAACATCAGAACACACCCACATTAACATCACAGACACAGGAAGTATAAATACGTGGCACAACACACCCTAGAACAGTAAAAACAACACAGCAAGCCACGAACAAACACAGAGCGATATCAAAGGTAGGATGAAACAACAAACTCCTTAAAATATAATATATACACACATATATAATAGGGTTGCTGAAATAATACAGTACCCATAATATATTTCCAGAAACTCCTTCTCAAGAAAGACAGGCGGCACAAGTTCGGCCCCCGTCAAGAAAGGCAAAAAGAGAAGGGACACGAACCTACTTGGTTTATAAATTTCAACTTAAATAACAAAAGTTTTTTTTTAAAACTTTAATATACCAAGACGGCCACTGTAGTTGTGGACACTTTAGATTTTGTATATATTGTGCATTACAAACATTGTATATGTGTATGTATTTTAACACTCAGAACATCTATTGTAATATTGGTTTCCAAAGAGTATCGATGTCCCTCTGATGATGGTCTATTGGGACCAAAACATGTAAGGGTATTAAGAATTGAAGTAGTAAAAACTTCAACAGTCACACTGGATCAAATTGTTTTATCCTTTATAATATTGTTAGTGTGACGGACCAGTATGAAACAAATCAAATTTATCATTACTTTGTTTTAGGATCATGCGGAGGAGCTCCTAGTCATAAACTTCACTCCCAAATCTTTACTCAGGTGAGTTTGAGTACTTTGCCTTAGGTCTGAGAGGAACATTTACTGATTCTTGTAGTTGAATAATAAGTCCTGCTTTGTGTTCAGCGGATACAGGTTGCAGCTCTTGACCTGAAATCTTGTTATTCTTGTTAAGAGGGTCCATGTGTTTCTTTAGTGTCTCCAGACAGGGGATGGGATGGTAATTTAAAATAGACTACAACCATTGTCATGTCTGTTTCAATTCATGAGTCACCATCTTCCTTTCATATTGTAACGGCCGGAGAACGGATGCTGCAAGAACAGCCTCCGAAGCAAAGGAACGGGGATGCGCCGTTAGGCTATTCGGGATGAACAGCCTTAAGGAGGGAGCAGTGTGACATGTTGCGCAACGGAGGACCCCTACCTCCCCAGCGGCACGTGGTGGTAATGTAGCGCTCTCGTTACTACTTGTCGCACTACGCAGGACACCACTCCCCCCCCTCCCCCNAAGCGAGCCGAATCCCAGCGCACTGGTCGCTATGCAACGTGGATAAACAGTGGTTGCGATAGACGACCCTAGCAACAGTGATGCCTACCACGTGGTTGTTTTCTCGTTGCCCTGGTGAGGGTTTATAAGGGAGATACACAGCCGCTGACGACAGTTCTCAGTTCGCAAGTTACGAGTTACAGACGCGTGTGTGAGAATCAGTGATAGTTCGTGATCACCAGTTATATTTGGAGTGTGTAATTCAGCGAGACTTGTATAGCTCCTGCGCTATTAATACTTGTCACGCTCGGCNCCCGCCGGCGGGGGGGGGGGAGTGGTGCCCTGTGTAGCGCGACAAGTAGTAACGAGAGCACTACGTTACCTCCATGTGCCGCTGGGGAGGTAGGGGTTCTCCGTTGCGCAACATGTCACACTATGATGCTATATAATCTGTGCAGTTTAAAAAATACAAGCTGTTGTTACTTATTAAACTGTTTTATTTTGTCATAAAATTGAAATAATCTATACAGACATAATTGTTTATTTAAAATGACTACATATAGGATATACAGTCCTGACTGTGAAACATGTTCATTGTGTGTTCTCCCTTGTGAGATGTTATTGTCAAAGTTGAATGATCAGAGTGTGTAAAATGGCTTGCAGAGTTTCTATGGAGACTGAAAACACTTGTTACAGTATTGCCTCTATCATATTATCAGTTGTGCAAGGGTTGCAGAGGTGAAAGCGGTGGCCCACTCAGAAAGGCTGCCATGCATATTAAGAAATCTGCTTCCAAATGTTTCCTTCAAAACCTCTAATGCTGGGAGATTAATTTGGTTGCATGTGTTCTACCCAAGAAGTTATAAGTTCTTTGCTTGTGCAGCTGAGGTAGAGATGACAGTCTGCTCAACAAAAAGAAAGGACCAATGATCCTGTTGCGTATAAGTCCACACAACATATTCTGCTATTTTGAACTATCTCATCATATTTTCACATATCCCAGGTTCTGTGACCAGTAATGACGTATTCTGAACTGGATGATTGGCTTTATTGACATCTTCTTTTACAAGCACTCTTCATTACAATCAGTTATAACAGGTCACAATCAGTGATTGTCTAAGACTCCTTCCATTCCATGCTGGACTACAAGTGTCTTCTCTTCTAATGTGACTGACTTTGTTCTGATTTATGAATCAGTCACTTCTTCATCTTCTGTTGTCCAATGGTTAACACTCCACAGCTGAACGCTCAACTCATTTCAGCTACTGAACTCTCTTGCAAATGATGGCTCGCTCGCAAATCGCTAAGGATGAATGATGAATGAATGCCAAATTGGAGTCAGAGTCAGAGATACTTTATGACTGGTGGTTTACCACCAATCGGTTCATCTTGATGACAAGCCCCTTGATACCCATGACCAGAATTTTTATTTTCTAACTGAACACTGTGCTTATAGTCCTCTCTGACAAGAGAGTGGGTCTATCATTTACAATTGCTGCTGGGCCTCGCCAGTGCAGTCATTCTCAGGACTGAGTCCCGTGGAACATTTGTTAATTTTGTAGCAACGGTCTGGTTTTCCCATAAACCTATCCATTACTGTGGAAACTTGCCTAGCAAACCATTGTCTAGCAATGAACTATTCTGGCTTACAGGCATTATGTCACAATATATGTGGTTTATGTACATAATCTGACAGGTGCTCTGTTAAGGTAAACATTATCACTGTCAACCTGGTCTGTCCTTTCAGTGTGGAAGTCCCAGCACATGTTGTAATGAGTGGGATGCTGGGCCTGAACAGTCTGTACATTATTTTATTGTAGGTCATTATTGCCAATGTATAGAATTGCCATCAAGTGTATCAAACTTTGGAAGGTCAACACTATCAATAGAAAGCAAACTCTGCCTATACATAGCAGTACTCAAACCCATATTATTTTTTTTTCTTTGGCACTACAGCCCCAGTGGGCCTAGGCCTACCTCCATGAACTTCTCCATTCACTTCGGTTTTTCTAGATCTTACATGTTCGGTAGGACTCCTTGGGCGGGTGATCAGCTCGTCGCAAGGCCTCTACCTATACACAAACACAGAAAAACGCACACACACAAACTAAACATCCACGCCCTGATTGGGATTCGAACCCGCGATCCCGGTTTCCAAACGAGCGAAGATAGTACATGCCTTAGACCGCTCGGCTACCGTGACTGGCTACTCAAACCCATATGGGCCTATGGAATTCAGCTAATTCAGCAAATCCAACACAGGTTTATACATTCATAGCGTTTTCATTATAGTTGTTGTTTTTTCTCTTCAAGGCCTTCTGTAGTTTTCACACGTGTGATATGTAGGGATGGGAGAGTAAGGGTTTCAAAATCCAAAGAAGGAAAGGCATGGCATGTGACTGTATATTATAATGGATTTGATCAATGCATTGCCAGGCAGGAGCTCTGTAAACACCGTTCATTACACAACAATAGAGCAAGCTGCGTTGTTTTTATGTGTCCGGCAGCTGGCACAGGAACAGTGATATCACACAGCAACAGTAGGTGGCCATCACATGACATGTGTTTCTTGTGTGTCTGTCAGCTTGCGCACATGCAGTGATGTCACATAGCAACAGTAGGTAGGATCACGTGATAAGTGTTTACTGCTGTTTGATGTCCACCCCTTGGCTATATAAGTGAGTACAATTCCCAGGCTGGCAGAGAAGTAGAAGCAGCTTAAGCACAAGAGCAGAATGAATTGGAACCAGGAGTTCTGACTTCTGAGTTCATTGTAGAAGAGAAGTGAACAGAAGACCTGTGAAGCCTTAACGTGTGTGTTATAATTACAGTAATCTTGAAAGCGTTAAAATTATTTGTAGTTACAACTAGCAAAGATCCAGTAAACCGATTCACCAATCCAAGCCTGCATCTTAGCCACTGTGACACATTACAATATTGATGGTAGGGTTGGGTCCAGAGCTTGTTTGCTTTTCAGTTTATCATGCAAAGGCATGTTTCATGAATTATCTTCCAAATGGCTTATCATATTGTCATGTATGTATATGAGTGACTGTATATGGGGTTTAGGTTGGTAGTTGACTTTATTGAACACTTACAGGTCGTAATTACAAGTAACTATAGTGCTTTCGCTAATTCACACACACCCAACAGTTCACCACAGCACATACTAAGTCTCCTCAGTCTGCTGTGTCTTCACCAGTCGCTGTCTGGTAATGGCTTCCAACACTGAAGATCTATCAATTTCCATGTTTACATCCTTACTGGCCGGAGACTGTCTCACAGCTAACTCATTGCTCCAGCTGACTAACTTCCAGGCTGCAGCCATCGAGCACCCATCTCCTACTATTCTCACGCTGTCTCAAGACTCGTGATCACAGCTGCTCTGTTATATAGCCTCGGCACAGACCACACAGAAAATACCTCTTCCAGCAGTACTTCTATTGTTGCATCATGTAGCTGGCGGATAGACCGCATAGAGAACACTGCTTCCCAGTTACTCCATCGTTGCATGTTATGAATCTGTTGTGGCCATTACCTAGCAACGGCCATTGTTTACAGAGCCATTATCTAACAGCAGCTGTTGTGTAACTGCTTATTTCATGGTTATTACTTAGCAACAGGTCTACATGCCATATTGCTCCCTCCTTAAGGCTATTCATCCTGAATAGCCTACAGGGGCACTGCCATCTTCTTTTCTGAGAGCTGTGCTTGTGGTGTCTGTGTTAGGCCTCACCTTCCTTTCCTGTGGCTTGATTTTCATGGTGATTACTCTCCAACTGCTCCTGTTGCTTCCTGCTTAAGGTTGCTTGTCCTGAGTGGTTACCTGATAAGAGGCAAGCTTTTCCAGGTGTTCCACCATCATCCTTCTCTTCTGAGGGCTGTGGGCAAAAGTTCCAAGAGTGGTCTGGCTGTTGAGCTATGTGTAGTCTCTACTTTTGCTTCTGTGGTGCTGACCTTTCTACAGTGTCCAGTCACTCACTTCCCATAACCCAGTCTAAGACCTGACTATTCACTTTTCAACCTCCAACTCTTGAGTTAGTCTGAGGGTCTCATGAAACGCCTCCTGCGTTGTCCTCTCCTTTCTCGGATGTAGCTGCTGTCTTGGACCCTGGTCCTTCATTCTGTTGTTGCATTTTGGTTGCACATGACATATCTTCCTGAAGGTCCCTCCCTTAGGGGCTCCTCTTGCAACATTGTTCCTGCCTGGTCCCTAATGACCACATTGCTTATGTCATGCAGGAACAGCCCAGTGGGTCATTCGTCTGCAGATGGTGGCCAACTTCTTACAGGATCCACCATTGCCATGGGTTCGTTTCTTCGGCTGTCAGTGACATCCTATGGCTAGGTGTTGGTCCCCATATCAGTCTTCCAGTGCTCTGATAGTTTCCACCATGGCCTCTTTCTTAGGAACTTCCTGATGCTCTGATTTTACTCTGTTTCTTCTAAATTTGCCTCAAAATCTGTGGCATCTAGTTCGTCCATCTTTCTTTGAAGACATCCACTGTAGCCTCCATTTCTCCCAGGCTGGCCTTCGTCTCTTCTGGGCTGCATATGACACTCTTAGTATTAAATTCTGAGCCATTATCTTATTTCATAAATATATAATGTGCCCCATGCAAAATTTATTTGAGCGTGAACATACTGTGGCAGGCTTTGGCAAAGAAATTAAATGTTTTGGAATAATTACAGAATATTTTTAACCCAAAGAGTATTTCACTGTATAGTTTTCTCTTACAGGTTGTGCCTTGATGCTGTGATCTCGTATGAGGAGCAGCTCAAGTCTGAGTGGTCGTCACTACCCAAGAACCTGCAGAGGATACTTCAGGAACGGCTGAAGCAGTAGTCACTGCTTTCCTTATCTTATGGTAGATATACATGTCCCACATGTGAGCACAGATCTAATTAAGTCACATCTCATTGAAACACACTCCTTTATTGAGATTAATGTGCTAGAAAATAAATTTTTTCCCCATAACAAGTCATGCAGTAAGAGTTTCATCTGCTTGGATCTGTGTAGCATTAAGCAAGAAATTCTCTGATATGACTGAATCAGTAAGATTATATGGAACCATATATCATTTATTTTAAGAAATAGTGTGACATTTGAAAATCATGATTTGAAGATGTTTGAGAAAAAGGTTATTAGGAGAGTGTTTGGATCTAAGAATAAGGAAGTAATAGGAAGGTGGAGAAACTTACATAATAAAGAACTTCATAATTTGTCCTCTTCACCTGATATTTTGATTTTGATTTTCAAGGAGGATGAGGCGGGTAAGACAGCATATTTGGGGGAAAAGAGAAATGAATGTAAAATTTTGACTTAAAAACCTGAAGAGAGCAATCCATTTTGGAGACAAAGCCATTGATGAAAGGATAATATTAAAATAGATCATCTAGTAATAAGGATTCGCACTTTGGACACAATTGAGCTGGCTGAGTGTGGAGTACAGTAGTGAGCTACTGTGCACAAAGAAGTTAACCTTGAGGTCATATAAAGACAAACAGTTTCTGGACCAGCTGAATAAGTATCAGCTTTTCAATGAGGAACCTCTGCCATGGAATTAATGTACCTGACATTTGCCTAAAGAGACTGAGGAAAACCAGGAAGAACCTCGGGATTTTTGGTCACTGGTGAGGATGAGACCGATACTTGAATATGGTTCGGTATGTTGGGACCCATACAGAGAATGGCAGGTTAGCACTTTAAATCGGGTATGAAGAAGAGCAGTTAAATTTTTCAATCCTACAGATGAATCTGGTTGGGAAACTCTGGCACAGCATAGATTGATAGCCCATTTGTGCGCTCTCTACAAGGCATACACCAGGAGACCGGCTTGGAAAGCAATAGGGGATAGCCTACTTAAACCATGCTACCCGAATAGGGACCATCATATTTGGAAAGTTAGAAGCAGGAAACAATGAACTTATGTTGGCAAATATTCTTTTGTAAATAGGACCATAAAGGATTGGAACAGTTTACCTGCAGGCATACTAGCGTTTTCCCCCTGTAAACTAAACTCTTTTAGAAAGAGGGTTAGGAAAGCTGTTGCAAGTACTGAGGCCTTAGGCGCAGTTTGAATGGAAACACGTGAAGTAATGTGAAATGTCCTTGTTCGAGTGCAATGTTTGGATTTGCACTGTGTGTACATTGTTTTATGTATTGTATTTTGTTTTGTATTGTTCCCTTATGTTATAGACTCTCCTTGTCTGTGTCAGTGTAAGTTCTACTGCCACCAGGTGAACACCCAATTGTAGTTAAATAATAATAATAATATGTCACTGACTGAGCAAAGCTATGGGGTGTAGTGTGATACTGAAGAGACAGGAGAAAACTTTCTTTTGCCCATTACTGACTTTCTCTGGAACAAATAGTATGCCAACATTTTGTAGGACATATCAACGCCTTTTTTGTATTTAATCGTATTGTAGTCTGTAACTGTTGTGCTGTCCCTTGTATGCTTTTATGTCACCCATGGCTGACATACCATGTGATCCTATGAACACCCTGGGTATCTTTCCACTCTTATAGCCAAGATCTGATGCCATTGACAAACAGTTCTTTCCTTTGTCCTCCATTATTTTTGGAAATTCTTGTTTAGGAACTCTTTTCCATTGGGCATTACTATGCCCACAGCTATTGTCTTACATGCCCATAGATGATTAAAGAATTTTATGCTAGAGAACCATCAATCCTTTTTGACTTTATGACACAGCTTATCATTAACATTGACTTCAGTGTTATGATCTGTGCGAGTAGGGCACGTGTCAGTATGTATTGTGCTGTTGTGTTCATAGCCACTGTTGCTTCAGACAGTTGAAAAATCTTGCTTCCAAATTAGTGACTTCACCATCATGCGCCCTCAAAAAAATATGTACCTTTGAAATGCACAGATTGCCTTGTTGTTGGTGAGATCTTTCTTGAGCATTTATATAGTTCTCTAAATTCTGAAGTGAAGGTGTGTAATGGGCTAATTATGAATAAGGTGTCATAGCTTGGTTGTTCTGGGGAACTTATATGTCATTATTATTAATCTGCATCATACAGAAATCTGTTGTGATACATACCAACACATGCTGGGTAGTAGGTGTGCATTATTGGTCTTCTGCTCCAATAATCATGCACAGATAGGTTACACAACATAGATCTTGTTCATGTAGTGTGACAAGTTTCTACTGGCCAAATACGGGCTTTTTGTTTCTTTAGAGGACCTTCATGCTCCATGATTATCTGTTGGGTTGCTTAGTTTTTGTTTTATTCTACATAATTTTGAATATTTTATCATTGGGGAGAATTCTGAATATCTGAATTGGTGACCTGCCCTCCATCATTTAAAATGTTTCATTTGGCCCTGGCAAGCCAAAATGCATTATGTGGGAGGAAGCGGGTGATGAGAAAGTGATGGTAGTGAAATAAAGTATGTATGTATGTGTATGTATAATTTTGAATATTTTATCATTGGGGAGAATTCTGAATATCTGAATTGGTGACCTGCCCTCCATCATTTAAAATGTTTCATTTGGCCCTGGCAAGCCAAAATGCATTATGTGGGAGGAAGCGGGTGATGAGAAAGTGATGGTAGTGAAATAAAGTATGTATGTATGTGTATGTATAATTTTGAATATTTTATCATTGGGGAGAATTCTGAATATCTGAATTGGTGACCTGCCCTCCATCATTTAAAATGTTTCATTTGGCCCTGGCAAGCCAAAATGCATTATGTGGGAGGAGGCGGGTGATGAGAAAGTGATGGTAAAAGGAAATGGGACAAGGGTGATTATGGATGGGGGAAGTGGGACAGAGTGATGAGGGTGCAAGAAGGCTATTATGAATCAGGGTGGGGTGAGAATGATGATTGGTGGAAGCAGGACAGTTTTGGAAATGAAATTTGGATGAGAGTGATGATGGTGAGGGGCAGAGGGGTGGGAGATGTCTGTAATATAGCAGAGTGAGGCAGGGTTGATGATGACTGTGTTGTGGCAGTGGCGACAGTATGGGCATGAGGACTTTGAGTATGATGATGTGTTTGTTATGTGGTGATAAGCAGTGTGTTAGGATCAAGGTGACTGAGATGATGGTGAGCTGTAAATAAGGACGATCAGACCTAGTTGTGGGAGAGTGCAATGTGCATGCTGAATGTTACGATGGAGGGAAAGGGTAGCTGAAGAAGGGGAGGAAGGTGAATTTGAATTTGAGGGTTAAGGGTGAGGACATGGGGATAGTCTTAAGGCAGAGGTGCATGAAGATTTGATAGCAAGTGAGTATTACATGAAAATAGTACAGAGGAAGTTGATGAAGTTCTTGGAGAAGGGAATGGTGCTGATGGGAGTTGGGAGAAATGAATCGATAAGGATGTGAGAATGGCAATGGAAGTGGGGTTTGGAGGATGATGTAATGAGAGATGCAATTGTGATATACACAACAGAAGAAGTGTGATATTGTAATAGAAATATATACTTTTTTCATGATAGTGGACTGAAATACTCATATTAATTTTCTCATGAAGGCTATCAAAATGTGGTAGTTGTAAGTATCCACTCTGATTACTGAATGTGGAATTGAATCATTTTATGGAACTGACTTAAAAGTTGTTGGTTGTCTCTATTTTGAAAAAGTGATGATTGTTCACAATTCTTGTTGTACTTTTTGAGTCATTTCTATTTTCTTTCAGCTTTTGGATGCCAAATGTTGTCCTGTACAAAAATGGCTGCCAACCAGTCGTATGGTGCCAATCAAGGCTCATAACTGCGTTGAGTTCCCCTGCTCAGACATGTTGGTTGATCACAAATTAATATTTTATACATACTTGATATTGTGCTATTTAATTATGTATATACATGAAGTATGTTTTCCATAGGAGATGAACATGTCTGGCTATTGTGCTTCTTAATGTAAAGGAATTAAGGTACAATATAACAGATTATTAGATTGCACATTTTGTGTCCATGTTGACAAGACATTAAGTAGTGTTGAATGTTTTGTTGTTGAGGAGGAGCTCCCCATTTTTATAAGAAGTGATGCAGCTACAATTTGTGTGACTAGGGAATTATGAGGGGCAGTCAAATGAAAATGGGTCAGAAGCCAAAACATATTAAAGAACATTTCTTACCTCAAAAGTAATCTCCAAAACTAAACATAAATTTATCGCACTCGGAGATAAGACAGTCAATCCCATCCTTGAAAAAGCTTGCGGGCTGTCTGCGGAACCACATCTTTACCCAGCCACACATGTCTTCATCCGATGCAAACCGATGTCCACGAATGTCTCTCTTCAAGTCTCCAAAAATGTGAAGCTCACATGGGGAGAGATCTGGGCTGTAGGGGGGATGTTGAAGCACTTCCCAACCAAATCTCTGTAGCGTATTCCTCACAGAGTTGGCAGTGGNCAGTGATGCAGCCATTCTCTGAGTCTTCTGTTCCTCCATGAGTTGATGTGGAACCCACTGCGCGCAGATTTTGCGGTACAGCAGGTGTTTTGTCACAATGGCGTGTACGGAACCGTGACTTATTCCCATCGAAAGACTGATTTCTTCCATAGTGATCCGTCAGTTTGCCAGGATATGACCATCCAACGCAGCAGTAACATCAGGAGTGATGACACGATGAGCCTGTCCTGGGTGAGCATCACCTTGCAGTGACACACGTCCCTCTCAGAATCTCTTATGCCATGCCAGCACACGCGAATGTGACATGCTGTGTTCACCGTAAAGAACAGACGTGATGATGAATTTCTCGTCCTCCTACTCCTTCAGCGGTCAAAAAGCGCAATACTGTTCGCTGTTCTTCTTTACCCGCCTCCATTACTGATGTTGGACAACCACACATAGCGCTAACCTTACTTCCAACACAATAAACAAACGACTAGTTTGCAAGGGCACGTTGTCACTGTGTTTTCCCAAGTCCCCACCAGATGTTCGTACTATAAGCAAATTCCAGTGTTACCAGCTTGCGCGCCGTGTGAGTTATGAGTGGTGGCCCGTTTTCATTTGACTGCCCCTAATACATAATATTCCCTTATATGAAAGACCTCTGTCAGTAAGGAAATTTGGAAAGGAAGACTGGGATTCTCTGCACTGCCACATCAAGACAACTGCAGGGCTAGCCAAGCCTCCATTCTGACAGATAAGAAGATTCTCTCTCAGTTTCTAATCATCAAGAAAATACTAAGTGACTCTTATCCATAAGATTAAGAATGCATGTTCATCTCCAGCATTTAGTAGTTCTCATGCAGGTGTTAGAATTTGTTTCATGGGTGCATGAGATAATGCTTAATATATTGACCATGCAAGTGAAAAAGAAAAAGACGTGCATTAATAAATCATATTATAATAATATTAAATTAAGAACAACTAGAATTTGGGAAGCGCTTCCTGCTGTTCTGTTCTGTCTTACCCTTGTTCTATATAAAAGAAAACCTAAAAATTAAAATATCCAGAATTACAATTTATGTCATTTTGTATGGGCATGAAACTAATGGAAGATCATAATTGCACTTGTTTGAGAACAAAGTACTGAGAAGAATATTTGGATCCAATAAAGAGGAAATAAATGGATTACACAGTGAAGATGTTCTTAATGTTTGTTGTTGCTGGCCACTGAGCCTGCAGCTGCCATTTTAAGTTATTGCAAGTAAATTATATATTCTCGAGAGCTAATGTTTTATGGTATATAGAACTGGATATGATTCTTCATAAACTGTACAGGCAATGCCAGGAAACTGAATTAAAATGAGGGCATTTGGACCTTGCAGTTATCACAAAAGAAGTAACATGAAGTGTGCAAAACACTCATACATTCTACTCTGATAAGTAAATCATGTTTATTAATGAGTGTGTGTATGTAACATGTTAATTACATAGAACAAGTCTTAATGAAATGTGCATGTTTAACAGGGTTATAATACAAAGAGGTTGAGGTGGTGACAAGAAGCAACAAATATTACAGGTTAAAAGGATTATGAAAACAAATGACTTTACAAGTTCTAAATATTACACATGAAATCGTCATCATCCTCAACATCACCATTAAATTAAATTAAGAACTAAGAAGTTTTTGAAAGGAGAAGTGACATGGAGAGTTATATCTTCCAATCCATAGTGGTTCTCAGTAATTTCGATAACATATGAAGCTAATTTTGAGAGAGGAATGTTGGACAACATGTTCTAAGTAGTTCATAACAGTTCCTTGATAATTTGCTACTAGACTGCTTTATCACCATTTCGAGAAATAGAAGAATAGATTTATTTCATTGTGACAGTTCTTGCATATTCTTTGCAGAATTAATCAGTCGAGCAGGTGATGTAGCAATAAGACTTGTATGCGGGAGGTGCACAATGCAGTTCTTGACCAGGATGCTACCTCTCCTAACGTCTCAGTCTGTTTAGGCAAATAGTGGTATAATACCTCCATTAGACCATGACCATTCCCATCGAAGTAATTTCCAGTTCATCAGTCCTCCCATGTCATCAGTTCCGTTGAAATTCGATCAGTATCTTTTGGTTTTTACATTTCCATTTTTTTTTCAATACTGATCTCAACCCAGGTGTAAGTAAATGTGAGAATATGTAAAAGTCACCAGTCTCATTCCTTACCAAGTTCTAGGTTGGTTACACTCCTTGTACCCTTGTATGTAACTGTGTGTGTGTCTAATGTTGTTCTTAATGTGTATTTGAAGCACATTAATTTTATTGTTCAAATGTTTCCTCCTGAAAGTTCTAAAAATATTGTGGCGTGTGCTGAAAGCCAGAATTGTGAAGCCAGTAGAGACAGCCGTTGCTAAGGAACAATTCTGTGAACACGCCCATTGCTAGGCAATGGCTCAGTAGCCGTCATATGTTAGCCCCAGTGAACACACACACAACAATAGAAGTGATGTTGTAAGCGATGTAGCGTACCGACACTATATAACGAGGACCAGCTGGCTTTGCCGGGAGGGACCCATCCAAATACTAACCACGTCCAGTGTTGCATAACTTCGGTGATCGGACGAAACGTAAAGCGTATTCATAAAAGACAAAACCATCTGCCTGTCAGAGAGGATGTTACTTAAGGTCTGTGCCCGCAAGGGTTCAGTCTGGGGGGGGGGTAGTCTCCGATCATAAGTCTCAAGGGGCTTGTCGCCAAGACGAACTGTTTGGCGCCCAAATCGCCAGTCGTAGAGTAACTTTGATTTGGACTTTGTCTGAGAGGCTTCCATTTTAATTTACCTCAGTGGGATGAAGACGTTCTTGGTGGGAACTTCAGGCTTCAACTGCAATTGGTGGTCGTTGACTCCCGTGGTGGATGCTTAACTGCAAATAACCTCCCCGTTGTGTGTGGTGTGGGGGCGATCACCTGCACAAGGAATGGTCCCCGGCACAGGACAGCACAACATCGATACCAACATGCTGAAATTGCAAGTTGGTGGATGGAGAGGAACCTCATCTCTCCAACTATCGAGGCTGCAGGCACGCCAAGGAAGAGATGCGAAAGAGGAAGTCACAGAGAGAGCCCAAGACTACAACTGGAAGCCACACCACCCAGGCCTACCCTTCGTGGCGGCGCTGCGTAACAACACACAGCAACAGCAGCAGCCCCAGCCGCCCTCAGTTGCACAGGCCTGCCCTGCCACAGTGGGAGAAATGAGTGCTTCCTCCCTTGAGGCACAACCTACAAGTACCAAATCAGTTGAGGCTCCTAATGCAAACAGTTCGTCTCTGAACATGTTCATAGTAGTCGCAATGACATTTCAAGGAGATCATGACACAGCTCGATGGGGCCGAGTCAGAAGAAGACAGAATACTAGCCATCACGAAAATTGTATTAAAACTCGTTAAGCAAAATGACGGCTAGAGTTCATAGGTGGTAAATATGACTGCGCTGGCGAGGGCAAATAGCAGTTGTAAACGACAGACCCATCCTCTCATCAGAGAGGGCACTCCACATCAAGAAACCCGCAACTCTCTGACAGTAATAACAATCTGGTCTTGGGCTCTAAATGGGTGCTTGATACCAAGACAGACTGGTCGACTGACACGTCGAGAGAGTCTGCAAGCAGACAGTCAGTTGAGAGCTGCAGTTGAAGCTTGTAGCTGAGGCCGGGGACAATTCGGGAACCCGGAGGAAGCGGAACGTCCGCCGTTGAAGGCCGCTACTGAGAACACTACTCTGTGTGCGATAGGAATCCGTAAAGTGTAGTCACGAATTGGTTAAGGGTTCAATAAATCTGATTTCGAATCCGAACCTCGTCTATCGCGACTCTAGCACGTGACAATATCACGCCTTGTATTGCGTTATGGCTATTTTGATACGCAATTTACGTGCCTGGTGTAGCCAGAAATTTGGTTGTGCTCCTTTATATCTAATGGATGTAGATGCCCATCCAACCTATCCAATGGATACCCGGTGGATAAAGCGGCTGTGGCGTGAAGCTGACCATTCCAACTAGTGCCGCGGTCAAGAAAATGTGGCTATATACAACAACTCCCCCATACGCCTCAGTAGCATAGTGCATAATTAGTTAAGCACGTACTATATATATAATTTGTTTATGTTTTTACATTTCTTGCTACAGCAAGGATTTTAAATATGGGACGATTAACTTCTAATCCACTAATTCAATCTGTAATTGCAGATGAGTCAATGCATGTGTACCATATTCGTATCGTAGTGAAACAGAAACCGCAGAAAGCAGCTACATTTTACATACAACAGCCATCATAATGAAGAGACTTGAATGAATTCAAGAACTTTTATGATGCTGTATTAAAGTACAGTGGAACCTCGGTAATTCGAACTGACAATACAAAAACAGCAGCAAAATTAATACCTCCAAGGATTACAAATTTAATGTAATTAATTGACTTCCAGTAAAAATGAATTAATAAGAAACATGATACTACATGGTAATGGACCTGCCTCTCTGGGTGGTAGAAGTAAAAGTACCAGGCCCTGA